CTTACTTGCTCATGACAAAGACAAATAACAGGTGAAATGGCAGGTTTTTGGACAGTTGGACACAAATAGACATCAATAATGGCTTTAGAAAGTCAGTAAACAGCCTTTAGGACAATATTGCCGTAGCCTACAATATGTTTTGAGATTTATGAATGCAATCGTCATAGTTAGTTTTAAAAATGTCTACTTATTCATGACAAATAAAAATGGGGAAATGGGAGGTTTTGCACACAGTTCTAGACGTTAAAACTGGCTGTAGAAAGTCACCTAACGGCTTTTAGGAGGATATGGCCGTAGTCTACAGTGTTTTGAAATTCATGAATGCAATCACCATAGTTTAATTTTTTAAATGTCTAATTGCTCATGACAAACAACAGGTGAAATGCGGAGTTTATGGACAATTAGGCAAGGTTTTAGGTGTTAAAAATGGTTTTAGAAAGTCACCAAACGGCTTTGAAAATTCCAAATTTTTCCCGGGGGAGAGCCCCGGACCCCCCTTGACAAGGTCCTAGAACCGCCACTGACGCTTGGGTCCATTTAGAACCATAAAAACTCAAAACTTTTAAAAACTACTTTTCAAAAGTAGGCCTACTGAAAGACGTAAAATTAATATTAACTAGGTGAACCCGTGCGAATTCGCACGAATAATAAATTAGAATATATAGCAACGTCGTTAGAAGTTGCGTCGTTGTATCGACGTTGGTCTTGAGCTCGATGGGTGACTACAGTATATGCATTCTAAGTTATTTTTGCAGTTCAGTAGGAGTATTTTGCACATCAACACACCTAGACGAACATTTTGGCATATAATAAGTGGAGTTAAATCTTAAAACAAAAAAGCCTTATTGTTCACAAAGTTTCATGTCGCGTATTAAATATATAGATTAAACAAAATTAAGAGGATGACACGGGTTGTACACTACAGTAGGCCTAAATAGCCTACGATAATAGAAATTTGCAATTTGTATCCATGCATAGACAAATTTTTAATGCAATCCATTAATACATTAGGCCTACCACTTTATAATGTATTGATCAATATTTATTAAAATTTAATAGCTCTATTTTTAAATAAATTACCACTGCAATGCATTTCTGTAATGACGTTTAACGTGTAAATTTTATCATGATTTATGATTCAATTTTATGATTAAAGGTTACGAGCCCAGAATATAAAATACGAACTTAATAATTTTATTGCAGAAGTTAACAAAATTGTATTTATTCGAATAAAAGAAACAAATGGTGGACTACGAAAATAGACATTTTATAACATGTATAATGTCCGAATTAAATGTACAGTATTATCATTTTGCATCCCAATAAACTACTATTTAAGTAAGAAAACCACATATAAAACATACTCCCTTATATTAGTACATTTCTCATAGTAGTTATGTCTGGTGCACTGTCTTTAGAGGTCGTGTTTTGTTTATAATTGTTACTTGTTTTCAGTAATTTAAAACCTCGTTTAACCAAATAAAACGTTTTAATCACAACTTATAACACGTACCCTAGTTATATAGGTAACCAAACAGTAAAGAACAATGAAGTTAACTATAAAATAATAGAAACACAATTTCGTCGACACTAGCGATCAGTGTCACCGGACATGAATTAGACACGATAAACGAGCTTCAAAGTTTACAAAAGGATGTAAAGTTTACTTGTGTTGGTTAGTCTATGGTAGGACTATCATCTTGGGACTATAATGCATTTTCTACCCTAATAACCATAAGAATAATATTAAACATACTTCTAAATATATTTATTTTATCGGCTACGTTGCTCTTACTCCTAATTATTCGTACGATACGACATTATGGTACCGATACGATATAGGTACTACACTTTCGGCAACACTGGCCAAAAATCTTCGTGCTTGGCTCCCATTGGACGGCCCGCGAGGTTTCTGATTGGGAGTTAGCGAGTTCCGCCGAGGGACCGAGTTAGCGACTTCCGTACGAGGACGGAATTCGCTAACCCGGCTCTAGAGCGGGTTAGCGGGTTCCGGAGTTAGCCAATTCCGAAACCGAACAAGTTAGCGAGTTCCTCTCATCGACCAAATTTGAAGATAGGGCGTTTAACATGGGGTTAGCGAGTTCCAGAGTTAGCCAATTCCGCGGACCCATAAGACTTACAGGGTGGCTACTTTGTGGTTTAACTAAGCATAAAAAATATGTATTGCTATTCAGGTGCATGGTAGTACTACTTTATTTAGTTGTGGATGTTTTAGCGAATTTTCCCTATAGGGAATAAGCTATTACCGTAGTACTCATGGTAAGACCTGGACCCGGGACCGATTTACTTTTTCGTTTTGAGGTCCCTAGAGACCTAAAACATTATCCGTTCAAATTCATAAACTGTATATATATATTTATATATGTGTCCGTTAGCGTGATAACTCGAGCAAAAATCATAAAGTATATAAATCACATGACGACATGTTTATATTAGCGAATTTCCCATACAGGGAATAAGCTATTACCGTAGGTCTCATAGTAAGACTGATTTACTTTTTCGTTTTGAGGTCCCCAGAGGCCAAAAACCTCAAATTCAAGAGGCCTCCGTTCATATTCATATATATATGTGTGTCCGTTAAAGCGCGATAACTTGAGCAAAAATTATCCGATTTTGATGAAATTTGGTTCAAACGTGTAGACCTAGATTTATTCGAACAAGTTCGCGAACCAGCTACTCCTTTTAATCAACTACCCTCGAAATAACATTTTTGTCATACTGCAGCAAAAAGAGCCGTTTTAATACATGCATTGCGGGTCTAAAGTAGCTCTTTTACTCCATAGGGAGTAAAAATCAGCTGTTGTAAACTTTGATTGCAAGCAATTGCATGTATCGAAACAATTTATCGATTGATTTAACCGGTTTTAGCTTATTCTTGCATTATTGGCAATAGTTCGACATATCAATTTAGAACAAAAGTAGAATATATAGCAAGACAATAATTGTAATAGATGAAATGATTGAATCAATTACTGAACAGCTGCTTATTTGCATTAGCAGAATTGAAAACAAGCTGGAAGTCGTTTTGAGAGGTTATCTTTACATGAACAAGTATTTTTGTTTTCTAACTTAGTTTGTTAATTATAATGTTGCAGTATGGAAAAAATTTACTTCATCACACGGGCAAAAAGTGTCTTTTAACCCTCCCTCATTTTCCTTGAAGTGAAACTTGAGCTCAGGTCGAAAAGAGTCACTTTACGCCCTAGTGATGAAAAATATACTATTTTTGTCTTATTCCTATAAATTATATTAAAAAATAGGGGTTTTAAAAAGTAAAAAAAGTGTTTTTTTTTTTAGTTAAATATGGAAGATAGTCAACTGGAGGAAAACTTTCAGGCCTTGGTAAATGACATCAATACAAACAGACCAAAACGCCCAGGACCTTTTATTACCAGGTGAGTTACAATTAATTTAGAAATGTTACTCTTTTAGTTTAATTGAGAGGATATTGAACAACACTTAAGTCGCAAGATCACAAATTTAAAAGCAACCCTGATTGAAATTACAGAAATATTTTTTATTATTTTTAAATATTAGCCTACCTGTCTGCCTTAAAAAGTGAACAAGCATATTTTTGCAATTACAGTAGAGTCCCGTTAGTCCGAAATGGTTGGGACCGGACCCATTTCGGATTACCAAATATTTCGGAATAAACTTTTTTTGTTTTTTTTTTTTACATTTAAAAATTTTTTTAAGTTTTAAAATCTTTTTTTAAATTAAAAAAAAAAAAATTTTTGTCTTAGGACCCTAGGCATGAGCCCGGGATTGTTTTCACATTACTTGCTAGACCTAGTGGCTGGAGCCACTATCACATCACATTATCACATCGCATTATCACTTAATAAAATCCATTTGTGATTTGGCGGGATTGGAACCCGGGACGAAAATAAAAAATGTTAATAACAAAAATGGTGAAATATTTACTAAAATACTCACCAAAAAGCCTATCTCGCTCGGCCGCTACAGAATACTTTTACTAGGTACAGCTAACTGTGTTAAAAGTTAAATAAAAAAAATTTAAAAATATTTTTTTGGTTTTGGATTATGCGGACTTTCGGATTACCGAAGTTCGGATTATTGGGACTCCACTGTACAACTCATAAAAGGGAAATTGAAACCTTAAGCTTTGAATTGTGGTTATAGCCATACACTCCCAACCAAGAAGAGTTAAAATGTACAGTCTAGCGCCACCGCAGCTCCAGCGCCTGGGCAGCCTAATGCAATATCGGTGAAACAGGAGTTCTCACTGGCTCAGCCCCGTCGCCACCAAAAGCATTGCGGTTTTGCTTCTTATAGTGGTCTCTATTCATTGTTATAGCACAGTCCATCCATATAACTCTTGACAGTAACATTCGGGCCAGAGATGTTAAACATCCACTCACATTACGTTCCTGAATCATCTTAAATCTTTAAAATTGAACATTTAAAAATTATGTTAGGTAATAATAATTGCACTCTTACTTGAAATAAAACAGTGTGCAGTTAATGGGGTGCAGTCAAAATAGGTTTTGCTGTAAAAGTTACTTAATTTTTATTGATATTTGTTTTCACGCTGAATGAATTTTTCAGAGTAATTATGTCATGCCCTCCATCTACTGAAAATTTAAAGGTCAACATTGAACCATACTTAGAAGAAAAGCAAATTGAAGATGACAGCTCTGATGAAGATGAAGCTATTCCGGCTAAAGCATAGATTAATTTTGTATATTTAGTTGTCAAATAGAACGTTTATTTAATCATGGTTGTTTTTGTCTCCTTTATAATTTATCTACTTGCAAATTGTATTGCATAGAAATAAGTTCATGTAACAATGTTTAAAACATTTATTTATATATCTTCATGAGATAACCATTATCACTTTTACTGTAGTAGTAATAAAAGATTAAGCATCGATTAAGAAAATTGTATTTATAAAATATACATTACAAAAAGTTATAAAATTATATATAAACTATTTGATATAAAATAACTTACAGTGATAGTGTATTAGCTCTACAACAGGGCTTATAAGTTGGCACAATTGTATACAAGTGTTATTAAAGTTAGATTTTTATTGCAGAATGAAGTTAAATATCATTTTTATTTTTTAGCATAAAAATCTGATTACAGTGGCAACAAAAAAGGTATTTAATCTCTAGTTTCCATACAGTATACTTCTTACAAGCTAATTTTTAAAAGGTAATTATCACAATAGGTAAAGGCAGAGCCACATCTTAGGATAGATAACTGGTTAAAATAGGATCCTTATCAATTCTGTTTTTCTTCTCTTGGTCACAACTAAACATACAGTTTGTTTCATTATTAGGGTACTGACAGGCAGCTTGCAATGCACCAATAGTGTAAGTCAAAACTTGAAATCTCCATTTGTAAGTTTGTTATCAGTTGAAGGGGAGCTGGACATGTGAGTCAGTGAGAGGAAAGGTTGCAATCTTACAGTGAACTCTTCTACACCAAGTCTCTGGCAGTGGTGTTGCATTGTTGATAGATCCACCTGTAAATAATGTATGTTGAATTATCTAATGTCAGACGTTTCTTAAGTTCTTTATTACATTTTGAAGAATTTACATAGGATACTTGGCTGATGACGTATCAGATTCATTACTAGGAGTTCATTATATACGATAAATACTGGATATAAAACAGATATAAAACACAAGTATAGTAGAACCTCGACTTTGTCGACTAAGGAGAAGTTAAACTACCGAATGTTGAAATATTTTGGACATTTACAGTACACACAGGATTATTTAAAACACGAGATAAAGCAAACAAATTTAATGGATACAGTAGTATAAAACTTGACAAAAATAAACAAACTTCTCAACTGACATCTCTATTGTATTTTCTTTGTCTTCTTACTGTATAGAATAGTTTGTAATATACAACTGATATGCACTTTGGATGTTGTTAGAAAAAGTGTATAATAGTTATGTATTGAGTTTTTGTGTGCATAAAACAATAAGAAGGCTATAGTTTTTTACCTCGTGGTGAAACCGTCATCAGCCGCTGCCGACATTTGAACCAAATCGGCACATCACGGTTTGTGTCGAACTATAGGGAGTGTCAAACTTTAGGGAATGTGGAACTATCAAGGTTCTACTGTACAAATAACTTTATTTATTTATTTATTTCCAAAAAATACAAATTTACAAAACACATAAAATTTAGCTATAAAAAACATTTTTGGCTTGTGTGCAGCAATTATTATAATTTTAATTTTTGTTATTTCACAGTGCGTTTTTATTCATTCAGTCTTTTGTTTCCCTTGTTTTCTGTAAGTAAACTATACCATGACACAGAATTCAATAATATGTCAAACCAATCATAGAATCTAAAGTAGTCAGATTTTAACAATTATTTATAAACAATGAAAAAAGTAACAGTAATAAACTGATTTAACAATTAATAAATTATTACAAAAATTACAATAAAACATTTGGAACAGTGAACAACAATGATAAAATATAATAAAACACAGTTATTTTCAACTCAGATCTAGATATAAATTCTTTAACTTCTTCTATAGAACACTATAGTAACATATATTCCTCAGCTGTACCGGTAAACTATTTAACAAGAATGGAACTAAATATTCCTTTGTTCTTTTAGAATATTTATTTGTTGTTCTTGGTTTTTTATATAACTAGGGGACGAGTAATAGTTTATGATTAGATCGTATTATTAGGTTAAACGAGGTTTTAATTAACTGAAATAACACGAAACAAATTGTAAACAAAATACGACCTCTGCAGTACACCGTACAGAACTAACAATAAAATTGTCTTCAGCTGTTCTATTAGGATGAGAAATCTACTAAGGTAGTATGTTTTATCTATGCTGATATCAAACATAACCTAAACTTGACTTTAATTTGAGAATCTTGTCTGTAAAAACCTGAGTATGTATCTATATATATAAAATCCAATGTATGTTTGTTTGTTTGTCCTTTTTGGACTCCAAAACCGCTGGACAGATTGTAATGAAACATTCAGGCATTATTAAGCATTATTCAAAGATGGTTTGTGTGAAGTTTGGTGCAGATCCGTCAAAAGGGCCAGTCAAGAGCCCCAGTGGCTCTGGAGTTTCCCATGTTAACCTAATGAGTACTCATACTTAAATGGCATTAAAGAATCTTAACAGCTGGTTTAAATAAAGGTGGGTGAGCGTAGCGAACGAACTGCAACCAGGATGTGATTGAGCCATGCGAACGAGCTCATCTTGAAAATGAACGAGCATTGTCATAAAACCGCATTAGGCCAGGACAACGTCTGTTGGGCCAGCTAGTATTGTATAAATGTAAATGCTGAATGACTAATGATAATTATTGATTAAGGATTAAGCTAATCAAATGTGATATTTAGACTTTGCTCACCTGACGAGGTATGGGACAAGAGTAAAGCATCTCTAACACTCTTTGCACTCTGTAATGACTCTCCTCGTTCAATGGGCACTCAGCTGCAAAACATGACACTTAGATCCATGTGTGTGATAAATGATAATGATACTAAATAATGATTGAAAATGAGTGACAATGCAATGTGCATTAGACCAAGTAAGTCAATGATGAATTTTTTATGAGATGTATTTAAAGTAATGTTGGCGTACTAACATGTATCTGATTTGGAAATGTTGGGTTCTACAATCATTGTTTCTGGTTAATTTATTTGACACCATGTTTTGTCATGTTTTTGATGACCATGTTTTTGATAATATATTTACTACAATTCCTAAAAACAATCTTTTAGTATCAGGCCTAATCACTGAGCTCTCTGATCATGACGCTCAACTCTTAGAAATTCGGGACATCTCTTCTAAACAAAAGTTTAACAAACCTACTATTAAATCTAGTAGAAAATTCCTTCCTGAAAATTTAACCAAATTCAAAAATTATCTTGCACAGGAAACGTGGACTGATTTATATTTAGCGACTGTAGAGGAAAAATATGATGTATTTTTTAATATCCTTATGTTTTATTTTGATAGTTGCTTTCCTAAGTTAAAATCTCGTGCATGTTCAAAATCAAAAAATTGGATTACTCCGGAACTTAAGTTAGCTAAAGATGAAATAATACTATTAAGCCGAGAAATTAGGGTAAATAAGGATAAGTTTTTAATAAAAAAGCTAAAAGACCTGAAAAGAAGCTACGCAGCCCAATTAAATAGTACTAAACGACATTATATCGAAAGCAATATAAGAAATGCCAGTAATGTCTCAAAAACTACTTGGAATATTATTAATAGGGAACTAAACAGAAACCGAGTTCGTGAAAATGAAATCCAATTAAAAATTGGTAACTTTGAATACACTGAACCTGATGATATATGCGAAATATTTAATGATCATTTTGTAAGTTTGGTAGATAGGATTGGGGACTTGTCTTCGGGAGCTCTTGGTGCAATCTCAAATCCTGTAAATTCAGTAAAATTTTATTTAAAGCCTGTTGATGAAGCTGAAGTAGACAAGATTCTTTCTTCTTTTGAAAACAAGTTTACCTGTGGTTTTGATGAAATTCCTATGCCTGTTTTAAAAAGTGCTAAAGATGTTTTAGCTAAACCATTGGCTCATTTAATCAACTCTTCTTTCATTTCAGGAATATTTCCAAGTAAATTAAAAATCTCTAAAATTAAAACATTACATAAATCTGGTAGCAATAAGGACCCTTCTAATTACAGACCATTATCTATTTTGCCATGCTTATCAAAAATCTATGAGCGTGCCATGCATTCACGATTAATGAATTTCTTAGAAAATAATAGCTTATTTGATACTGAGCAACATGGATTCAGGCCCGGTAAATCTGTTGTCACTGCAACAATTGATTTGATAGAAACTATAATTGATGCTATTGATAAGGGTGAGAGCACTGTCGGGGTGTTTATGGATATTAGTAAAGCCTTTGATAGTGTCTGCCATTCAACATTAATTTCAATTTTAAAAAATTTTGGTTTTGCTAACAATGCTTTAAATTGGTTTCAATCTTACCTTGAAAACAGATTACAATATGTGGAAATTAATCATATAAATAATTTCAACCAATTAAGAAATGTAAAATCCTCTTTGAGGTGTATCAAATACGGTGTACCTCAAGGTTCGATTCTTGGTCCCATTTTATTTCTTTGTTATATTAAAGGTCTGCCAACAGCATTAACAGATAATATGGCAAAATTGTGTCTATATGCTGATGATGCAAATTTGTTGGTTTCTGGTAAATGTTTTAATAAAATACAAGAGTCGGCCCAAAACAATCTGTTATCTATAAAAAACTACTTAAACTTCAATAAATTATTTCTCAATTTTAATAAAACCAATTTTATGTCATTCAGTACAGCACAAAAGAAAAATCCAGAATTCTGTATTAAAGTAGATGATCTCCAAATTACTCAGGTAAAGGTAACAAAATTTTTGGGTTTATTGCTTGATGAGAATTTATCATGGTCACTCCATACGGATAAATTGTTACATAAAATTTCCTCGGGTTTATTTGCCTTAAGAAATCTGTCAAAATTTTGTTCCCTTGAGATATTGCTTAAGGTTTACCATGCACATATCAACTCACACATTACATTTGGTATTGAGTTATATGGAGCTACAAGTAATCAAAATTTACAAAGTATTCTAATCCTTCAAAAAAGGGCAATAAGAATCATGTTAAATCTGGATGATGAAGAATCGGCCAAAAAATATTTTCCTAAATTAAAAATTCTAACCGTTTACAGCTCATATATATTGCACACTATTATGCATGTGAGGGCTTCTGAAGACAAGGTGCCACTGCTGGGGGATAATCATAGATATAACACCAGGCATAAAAATTATCCATCCGTAACACAACACAAACTGGAGTTTTATAACAAGAAACCAACAGCTGCAGGTATTAGGTTTTTGTACCATCTACCAAAAGAAATATTTGATATAAAAAACATTAGGTCTTTTAAAAAAAAACTTAAATTGTTACTAATTGATAGAGCATTTTACTCATTTGAAGAGTTTTACAACATGTAATTACATTAATTAAATTTTCCTGTTTTATTTAGTTTAACCAAGTATTTTTAATTAGTAATAAGCTGTTTTGACGCCATTCTGTATTTATGCATATATTTCATGTAGGTATATAATGTATAAATCTTGAATAAAGCTATTCTGATTCTGATTCTGATTCTGATTCTGATTGTAGTCTTCAAACCACTAAAGCAAACATAAGGTTATGTTTTTAGGAAAAAGCATTTAGCTTGGATTGAATAAATAAATATAGGATGGAGAGGACACAGCTAACTCACCTGATGAAAGGTTGCAGATGAGTCAAAGAACACATAAAATCACACACACATAATATACTTAATATTTCGCCTCTTTCAGAGGCTTCTTCAGAAGTAGGCCTAGATGGTAGTTACAAAACAACAGTTTAAATAGGATGACCTTTTTTTGAATTCAAAATGTCTGACAGGTTGTCCAACTGACACTGCACAAAGCACTAAATACAGGCACATTGCAATATTGTATTTACATATATATGTATATTGAAAAGCAAATTAGTTTTGTCCATGAAAATAAATACTTAAGAGTTAGCTGTGAGGGTGAGGATATTAGGATATTATCTAATGTTGAGGTTAGGTTGGGTTCTGGAGTTGGTCACAAACTGGTAAGCTAATTCCCATCTTCTGAGCATTGAACTATTGCATTGGTTCTTTGGCAATGATTTTAGAGCTTTTATGGTGAAACAGTCATCAAATAGAAGTTGGTGGGATAAGGCATGTTGTGCAACTGGTTTTTCTTTGCTAGTTTTAACATCATGTCGATGGCCGTTCATGCGTTTTCGGAGAGTCTCGGTTGTTAGGCCTATGTACTGGGCTGGACAATGTGAACATTGAAGCTGGTAGATAAGGTTCTCTGAGCTGCAGGTATGATGGCCTTGGATTCTGTAATTTTTATTATGGTATGTGCTGGTAAAAGTTTCTGTAGGATGGTGTATCTGGCAAGATTTACATCGGTTTTCATTGCATGGGTATGAGCCCGGTCTTGGTTTCTCAGATGGTATTTTTGATGGATTTGGGAGTTTTGGGTGGACTAGCATATTCCTCAAATTTGGGGGTTGCCTATAGATTATGGAAGGGGCTCTTGAAAGGAGGTTTTTGGTTTGGCTGGAGGACTCTAGGATTTTGAAACCTGTTTTAAGGAGGTTGTTTAGTTGTTGCAGGCCAGGGTGGTAAGTGGTTATCAAATTTACTTGAAGATGGTTGGTATTTTTCTTTGTAGTTGGACGTGGGTTCTGAGCCGCTTGGATCTGAGATTTTACGAGAGTGCTAGGATAGCCTCGGTTTTCGAAGGCTTTTTGAAGTTGGGTTTGGTATTGTGTACGGTCTTTCGGTTCTGAAATTAGGCGATTTCCCCTTAGGGCAAGACTGTAAGGAAGTGATCTCTTGGTGTTATTTGGATGACAACTAGAAAAATGGAGGTATTGTTGGTGGTTGGTCGGTTTTATGTGGATAGATGTGGTGAGGTTATTGTTCCTTAGATGAATTGTAAGGTCTAAAAAGTTGATGGAAGTCTCAGAGAAATCCCAGGTGAAATTTAGCGGTCCAAAACTGTTGAGGTCTTCCAGGAACTTCCGTAGTGATTCTTCACCGTGGGTCCAAATTATGAAAATGTCGTCAATGTATCTAAACCAGCAGATGGGGAGGTGTTCACGGCTAGACAAAAACTTTTCTTCATAATTCCCCATGTAGAGATTAGCATAAGATGGAGCCATTCTTGTACCCATGGCAGTGCCCTTGATCTGTAGGAAGTGTTTGTCCTGAAATTGGAAATAGTTCTTTTCCAGAATGAATTTTATCAGTTGAGTTATAAACGAAGTGGTGGGTAGGGATCCTTTGGGTCGGTTTTGAAGGTAGTTTTCTGTTGCTGTTAGGCCGTGGACATGAGGTATGTTTGTGTAGAGTGAGGTGACATCAATAGTGGCCATGAGAGTGTTAGCGGGGAGTGGTTGTCTGACATTGTTAAGTTTTTGCAAAAAATCATTGGAGTCCTTGATATATGAGGCCAAGTTTTGTACTAGCGGTTGTAGATAGGCGTCTACGTATGAAGAGATACGTTCCGTTAAAGAACCGCAGCCTGATACTATGGGCCTTCCTGGCGGTGGTGTTATGCCTTTGTGGATTTTTGGTAATATGTAGATTTTTGGGCAGATGGGTTCTTCTGGTATTAACAGATTTGTTGTTTCTGGGGAGATATTGTTGGATTTGGAGTGTTTGTAAATTATTTCCTTGAGTTCAGCGGTGTACTTTATAGTTGGATCTTCTTTCAGAGGGAGGTAGGTGGAAGAATCACTGAGCTGGCGTTGGATTTCTGACACATAATCAGATTTATTCATTATCACTGTGGTCGAGCCTTTGTCAGCTGGAAGGATCATGATATCAGTATTTGATTTTAAAGTTGAAATGGCCTTTTTCTCGGCTTCGGTGAGGTTATGGAGTGTTGTAGAGGTTACGTTGTTTTCGAAAGTGGGATCTGAGATGTTTTGTACCAAGAAGTTGATGTATTGTTCTATCGGATGGTCTGCTGGTAACGGTGGGGGATCGAAGTCCGAGGGTGGAGCAAACTTCGCTAGGGAGGGCGCCACACTGTTGGATTTCGAGTTGTCTTGATCTTGTGAGTTGAAATAATGTTTGAGACGTAGGTTCCTAGCTAGCGACATGATGTCTTTAACTAGGCCAAAATGGTCAAAACGGGGTGTGGGACAAAAACTGAGACCCTTGGTCAAAACTGTTTTTTCTATTTCTGAGAGCTGGTGGTTGGATAAGTTGCAAACTTGTTGGTCATTTGTAGAGGTTTCAGGGTTGTTTGGGACAGAATTGCTCTTGAATGCGGAAGTAGGAATCTTCGGTGGTTTAGGTAGAAAGGGTTTTTGGCCTACTGGTATAGGTAGTCCTAAGAGGGAGGCCAGACAAGGCCTATCTGAGATTAGAGGAACCTGATGTGGTTGGGTTTGTTGGACTAGGCCTATAGATCCATATTGATGTATATGTTTGATACAAAGGTTAGAGAGTTTTCTGAGTTTTCTTTCAGCTTCTTTGTTCATATTAATTAAGGCTTTCTGTGCTATTGAATTGAGATTATCTGCTAGTTGTGGTTTGTCATTCAAAATCAGCTTTGTGAGGTCAGAAAGAGCCTTTCTGTGGTTATACATTTGTTCAGAGTACAGTTGTAGGACAGATTTAGTCAAATCTATTGATTGTTTGTAGGCTAGGGCTAATATAGCAGGCCACATATTAGGGGGCATGCCACTGATGGCTGGTTTTACAGTTAGGCCCACTGGAGTTAGGCCTAGAGTAAGGCAAGAACTCAGGAAATGTACATGACAGGTAATTTTTGATAATTTGAAAGCATGTTGTTTGGCTTGTTTTAGCCAAAAGGAAGAAAGGTTCATAGTGGATAGGATAGTTGGACAGTAACACTAAGGAAAGAAAGGAGTAAAGGAAAGAGTGAAAAGATTTGTCACTTTAAGGTTATGTTTTTAGGAAAAAGCATTTAGCTTGGATTGAATAAATAAATATAGGATGGAGAGGACACAGCTAACTCACCTGATGAAAGGTTGCAGATGAGTCAAAGAACACATAAAATCACACACACATAATATACTTAATATTTCGCCTCTTTCAGAGGCTTCTTCAGAAGTAGGCCTAGATGGTAGTTACAAAACAACAGTTTAAATAGGATGTCATCCTATTTAAACTGTTGTTTTGTAACTACCATCTAGGCCTACTTCTGAAGAAGCCTCTGAAAGAGGCGAAATATTAAGTATATTATGTGTGTGTGATTTTATGTGTTCTTTGACTCATCTGCAACCTTTCATCAGGTGAGTTAGCTGTGTCCTCTCCATCCTATATTTATTTATTCAATTAAAGCAAACATAAGCAGACCTAAAGCTCAATAGTGTAGCATATGGTTGGATAGCTTATCAGATGCTGATCTAAATTTACTATTTCTGCTTCACAAGAAAGAAAAATAAAAATTTCTGCAATGTTGGGTTTTCTTTGTATTTTCTCCCAAATTTCATTTTTTTTATTACTCCTTAGTCCTTAATACATTTGCTATGACTGGTATCGAACAAAACAGGATAAACACGCACCATTTCTATTAATTCTCCTCTAGATTCATTGTACAAGACTAGTGAACAACACTTGTGTCTCGTCCACAAATGTACACAGTCCACAAGTGGGGCTGCACTTCCCTGTTCTGTACCTTAATATGCGCCGGGCCTTATATCTATATCTATAAAAGAGGAACTATGTATGTATATATATGTGTATATACGTTATGGACTCCGAAACCGCTCGACAGATTGTAATGAAACTTTCAGGCATTATTAAGCATCTTTCAAGGATGGTTCGAGTGAAGTTTGGTGCAGATCCGTCAAAAGGGCTCTGCCCTAGAGGGTTTTAAGTGGGCCAATGTCAGACTTTTTGATCTAGAATGTTTACAAATAAATATAATTTAAAAGCAGATGTTTACTTTCACCAACTGTTTTGTACGTTTGAATAACTACAACATTCTGTATTAGCATTAGTCATGATTTGAAATAGTGCCACAGTGTTTCTACAGATTGCAGCACAGAAAACTATTTTACTTTTGAATAAGTCCAAATGTATTAAACCCCAATCGTAGCACACCTGTGCACTTAACAACGTTTAAATTCTCCAATGTTAAATATTAAAACATAAAAACCTTTATAAAAGTACTGTATTATAAACAATAAAAGGGATGACTTTTTTAAATGTATGACAACAGCTAATTTGCAACCAAAAGGTGAGTGAGCGTAGCGAACGAACTTCAACCTGGAGGCGAGTAAGCGTAGCGAACGAGCTAACCTGAAAACAAGTGAGCTCAGCGAACGATTTCCAACTTGAAGGTGAGTGAGCGTAGCGAACGAACTTCAACCAGGACGTGATTGAGCCATGCGAATACTTATGAAGTTAAGCGGGGCAAAGCCCACGGGTACAGCTAGTTATAAATAATTATATAATGTGATATTGCAAATAATTGTTCCTTTAAAATTGATATTCTGAACACATTAAATTATGTACTGTTATTTAGTTGCAGAGAAATACAAATCTTGAAAACCACAACAAATGTTTTACAAGATATCTTGAATTTTAAATTAATTTAACGATTACAAAAAAAAGTGCAATGAAAAAATCATGAACATCTTCCACAGCCGGATCGACAGAATCGTCGTCTTGCGCGATTTTTCCGCAATGTCGGTAATTTTCCGATCGTGCAGACGTGATGGGTATCGGTATTGGAATCAACTTTTGCCGATTGATTCTCGATACCTATACCAACGTCTAAATATCGGGTCGACAACATCGTCGTCTTGCACGATCTTCCCGCGATAGCGGTAATTTTCCAATCGTGCGGGCGTGATGGGTATCGGTATTGGAATCAACTTTTGCCGATCGATTCTCCAAAACATTCCTAGTTGCCTAGTATCCACTTTGTCTGTGGTCTTCCTTCATAAAACTCTTTAACCCACTTTCTCGAGGGTGTCTTAAATGTGTTGTATTCAATTGTTGTCTATTAACTTTGAATTGCTTAAGTTTCTTGTCCATTATCCATAGCAAAAACAATAAAAAACCACAAAACAAAACAAGGGTAAAGGTACTTCACTCGTTGAGAGCTGACATTGTTCTGTGAATGAGAGACTGGCTGCAGTGAAGGAGCGCCGACTCGGCTTCAGATCTGTTCTGGTCAGGTTGGCTGACCAGAAAAATAAATTTCCAATGTAGGTGCAATTACTTTTAAAAAGTTCCAAAGTTTATAAAATACTCCTGAAATAATTTCCTCATATTTTCATACTAAGGTACACTTATTAATTTTTTTTCTAAGCTACAACATAACATATGCATGTTTTAACTAGTTAAATACCTAGTAAACTGTAATTAATAATTGGGTTTTATTCCTATTTTCATTCAAATATTTCCGCCAAAGTATCACATAAATTTTAAACAAAAATGTTGATTTAGTGAGAAGGTAAACTATGCATGCATACATAAATCGTGTAAAATAAATTGTTAGCTAAAGAAAAGAAATGTTAACGTACTTTTGACAAGAGGAGTTACTAGGGCACAGTTCCAAGCCGCAGTGAAGATGGAACTGTCCAACAAGTGACAAAGATAGGTCAAGTCTGGCAACACAGTGATCAGCTCCTCCATCTAGGTAGACAAATTGGAAAATTCAGTAGCTTTTTAATAGGCCAATCACTACTTTTTTACGGTCAAACGTTGATTCAACATCTTGAAAATTTTACCTATCTTATCAACACATTTACCTTTTGAAAATCGTTCTGAAAATAATCAAATAAACTTCCTAGTTAATTATAAACCTTTTGTTTTATATTCGTAATACATCTCACTTTGGCAACAATTAGAATCACATCCAGAATTGAGAATCAACATTTTATAAAGCGGAATGAAATATATTATATTATACAATAACAATATTAAATTGTAATGTCCACAACATAATACAAAAGCTTTTAAATAACACACCATGGTGTAGGATGTCATGAGAGACAGCAGGCGGTCCCAGTAGCCAGGATTGGCAATGTGGAAGGCGTTGGCCATGGCTGTCCCCAGCTGTACAGCGGCCGGGCTGGCCTTGTTGATCAACATGCGGACAATCTTCTCCTTGTCACAAGCCTCAAACTCTGTCAGAGACCAGACTAGACCTAACTTCTCTAGCTCCGAGACAAACATTAGACTCTGCATACTACTCCTGTGGTACAAATAAAGTGAGTAAGAAAAGAACATTTACTAATTATTAAAGATGTGTTGATGGATAGCCAAATTGATCGATTCTAGATATCGGTACCTACCTAAAAAAATCAATTCTCAATACCAATTAATTTAAAAAATTTCTGTTCTATTACTTGTATACAAATGTGACAAAAGATAAGTCAACAGGAGCAAAATCAATCTCATACAGTGACCACATACAGTACATAAAGGTACTAAAGGTAAAGGTTCTAAGATAAAGGTTCTAAGATTGAATTAAACAACAACGCTTTTTTAGTCTAGATATCCCCGCAAAACAATTTTAAATTAGCATCTTTCTTATCAGTCTCAAACTTTCTTATGATTCTCAAAAGTCAAAATTATTATTACTTCAGTACTAATTATAGGTTTATTTCAACATGAATACAACTCTTACAAAGCTTTTTCTGGAAATCAAGGAAATACAATAAGGCAAATAAAGTTGAATTATGATGAAATAAGTTGAATATGAAGGGTACACAAGAGCGAAGCACGATGGATCAAAATAATTACTAAGTGAACACTCTGATTTATTGTAAAACTGAAACCGTTTTCAGTACCTGAGTTTGTCCAACGTAGTGCCCGTAGTCTCCACTATAACATCAGGTGTGGCCACACAACTGAGACACTGCAGTCCGCGCAGCCTGACAGACGTCGGCCTCATCTCACTGCTGTTGTGTAGACTGGCGTAGTTCACCAGGTACTTGGCAGCCTTCTCCATGTCCATGCTCTCCAGAACGTAGCACGCCCTACCACAACAAGCAAATGTTACATATTAAGCTATTGATATTCTAAATGCATATGTATTTATTAATGTTGTGATATGCAAGAAACTAGTGATGGTCAAAACCAAAAATTCTAATTTCAAAATCTAAACTTGAAAAATTAAAATAGGTTACCCAAACTTGAATCTCAAAACCTAAATGTAAAATCTTTTTGCTAGCATAGTAAAATGTTTCATATGCAATCAAAACTGAAATAAACAAAACAACATTAACCAGATCTAAAACATTGACATCAATGACACTGTTGTGTGGAGCTCTTGACCTGACATAATAACATTGATAACAAAACTAACACATTTTAAATTTTAAAAACACAGAAAAAAATTACAAACACTGAAACAAATGTAACTCCTGACACTGACATAATATCAGGCATACTACAGAGACTACATCAATTAATTGAATATCTAGGTGGCTGAGTGGTTATAGTGCTCGTCTAGTAACGAAAAGATGTACACATCCATTATGTATTCCCAAAGAACTTAAAATCACTAAACTTCAAAGAGAGGTTATGTTTTTGTTTTTGTTTATAATAATGGTTTAATTTACCTCTGTCAATATGGTCCTTGGGTAGTTTGTCACTACTGCAGTTTCATGCTCGTGGAGCACATCTTCAGGTGAAGGTCATAAAGTTAAAACATTTTCCTCACGTGAAGGTCGTCAATTTTTGAAAAAACACCGAAAAACACATAACACACAAACGGTACAAAAAAAAAACAAAAACATTTATAAACTTGGCCAATACATTAAAACGTTACACAGGGGGTAAAATAGTGTATACACTAAATAATGTATACCGGCGCCGAACCCCGTGTGAACGTTTTAATGTATTGGCCAAGTTTATAAATGTTTTTTTTTCGTACCGTTCGTGTGCTATGTGTTTTTTGGTGTGTTTTCAAAAATTGACTACCTTCACGCGAGGAAAATGTTTTAACTTTTTGACCTTCACCTGAAGATGTGCTCCACGAGCACGAAACTGCAGTAGTGACAAACTACCTAAGGACCATATTGACAGAGGTAAATTAAACCATTATTATTGTTGCTGTATGGTCCAGAGGCTACCAATCATGAAATTTTTGTTTATAACCACTCATTGCCATTTATTATAATCAGCTGGTGTCATTTCATAACAAGTGTAAAAGGTGAGTCATTACATATTTGAGAAAATATGTTTGAAGTGCGAGATTTATCCAGCACTTTAAATATGGTCGAGAATATGTAATGAATGACCCATTTTCACTTGTGTTTTGAACGTTACTTTTCGCTACACTTCTATTTTATATTGGAAATTGGAATATTTCTTTATTACAGTTAGGAACATTTCAAAACTAATAGCATTTTTAAGGTTAGGCCTTCTATTTTAAGTTCAAATTTACATTGCTCGTACAGATCGTACAGTTTTGGTTGTTGCATATTGAAAAAATTGATGAAACAATGACAAATGTTTGTTTTTTTATGTCGGATAAAACAAAAAAAGATAGTAACATTACTTTTGCATAGTAAACATTCTTTTTGTTTGCGTAGTAAACAATGTAAGGATGAATTTTTGCAGGTGGTAAAAATATAAAGAAAAAGTGTGATTTCACAGTAGTGTAGCAAAAAAGTGCATTGTGAAGGTGACAAACAGCTGTTTTCCGGGCTAAATCCTTGCTTGGAAAGCCAATGAAAACAGTGTACTGTAGTTTGGCGAAAAGTAAATTTGTTTGTAGGTTGTAATCAAGTGAAACAAACCTGATGATATTGTCACTGTCGTCAGGCACACTAGGCCCGTTGTGGAAGGCTGCGATGTTCTGAGTGATGTCGTCACAGGAGGTATCCAGAGGCATGTTGTCTCCAGGATACAACCACTCACTCAGCAATTCCTGCTGGATACCAACCACATTCACATCATGCAGCTTGCCGATCAGCTGCACCGCTTTGTTGATGTCTGTTAAACACAGTAATCAAATCAAATCAAATCAAATCAAAAAATCCTTTATTCAAACAGTACATTTGTATACATGAATTGTGTCAAGTCAAGAATAAACATAACTTTACATTGATATACATAACTATTGATTTGACATACTAATAGCTAATTGAAAAAGTCCCCGATCTTGTAGCAGCATTTATCTGACAACAATATGAATAAACTGGTTTTAAATCTTTTAAAATCTGTCAAACCCTTTATGGTGCTAGGCAGGCTATTATACAGTTTTATACCAGAGTAATATGGAGAATGTTCAATGGTGGAGGTGTTATGTCTAGGGTATGTAAGGCTATTCTTTTGTCTTGTGTTATAGTTGTGAAAATCAGAGTTATTTGGAAAATTTGATAAATTTTGTCTTAAACTATATGTATATACTGGGAAAAGTAAGAATTTTATGATTTTTAAAAATACTCTTACAGGATTTTTTCCTTTAAGATCAAAAATAATACGGATAATTCTCTTTTGCATTTTAAAAACTTTTTTTCTCCTATCTGAATTTCCCCAGAAGATCACACCATAATGAAACAAGTGATAGACATAACCATAATAAACCATCATGAGAGTGGATATGTCAACCGATTTAGATAAAATAATGAACATAAAATGTGCTTTATTTAATTTTTTTACTACTTCACCAATATGATTTTGCCAAGTCAATTTTTGATCCACTGTGATGCCTAAGAATTTATAAGTACAATTCCCTAATGACTAACTTCACATTGCTCAGCTTTCTAATCAACTCCACCTCCTGCTTTGTCAATGTATGAAACACGACTATGCCTACAACTGTGTCTGTTAACTCTGTACCACATTACCCACCTGGACACTGAGTAAGGGAGGCTGTTTTGCGCTGCAGGATGCTCGGGTCGTTGTACAATGCACTGATCAGATCTTGAGGTAGTAACACCAGCTGAAGGTACTCAGCTTTCCCCAGGCCAAACAGATGCAGGTAGTGGCTCGTGTGCAACGTCAGGTACTTCTTCTGAACCTAACAATCACACACACTTATACAGTACATCTTTGTTTCAGGGCTAGAGATGTACAAGGGCTAGGCCAAGCGAGTTTGGCTCCCCACCACGCCGCTGCTGTGATGTCAGAGCAATACATCAGGCTCCCGGCCTGTGTGAGCGCTGGTATTGCCACACATTTAGTGTCGAATAAGCACTATGTTGCAAATTTTTTTTAATATTACTATATTTTTTATAAGTAACTAGCTGTACCCGCGGGCTTTGCCCCGCTTAACTTCATAAGTATTCGCATGGCTCAATCACGTCCTTGTTGAAGTTCGTTCGCTACGCTCACTCACCTTCAAGTTGGAAATCGTTTGCTGCGCTCACTTGTTTTCAGGTTAGCTCGTTCGCTACGCTTACTCGCCTCCAGGTTGATGTTCGTTCGCTACGCTCACTCACCTTTTGGTTGCAAATTAGCTGTTGTCATACATTTAAAAAAGTCATCCCTTTTATTGTTTATAATACAGTACTTTTATAAAGGTTTTTATGTTTTAATATTTGACATTGGAGAATTTAAACGTTGTTAAGTGCACAGGTGTGCTGCGATTGGGGTTTAATACATTTGGACTCATTCAAAAGTAAAATAGTTTTCTGTGCTGCAATCTGTAGAAACACTGTGGCACTATTTCAAATCATGACTAATGCTAATACAGAATGTTGTTGTTATTCAAACTTCAAACGTACAAAACAGTTGGTGAAAGTAAACATCTGCTTTTAAATTATATTTATTTGTAAACATTCTAGATCAAAAAGTCTGACATTGGCCCACTTAAAACCCTCTGGGGCAGAGCCCTTTTGACGGATCTGCACCAAACTTCACTCGAACCATCCTTGAAAGATGCTTAATAATGCCTGAAAGTTTCATTACAGTCAATCTGTTGAGCGGTTTCGGAATCCATAACGTATATACATATATATATATACATACATAGTTCCTCTTTTATAGATATAGATTGATTTTCAAATAGGATTACGTATAACACCAATTTTAAGAAAGTAACTTTAGTAGATATTTAATGAGGGGAGTGGAATGTAAAGAAAAGCTAAGAATACTGTATTTATTGATCCGATACGTTAAGTAACTGTGTAATATCTGTATTCGTATTGCTCACATGTATATTAATATTCTTAATGTATGGATTATTAATATTATTTATTTATACCTTTTAGGATTAATTGAGATTATATCAAATACATTGAGTTTGTATAAAAAAAACACATTATAATGAGTATTTTGTAGCTTTTGGAAATATGCAGGAAGGAAAAGAATTTCAATATATCTACTTAATTTTATTATAAATATTTCAATACATTCAAATAAAGTAAATTATATGAAATTGCCAAAACTTAAAAGAAAATCTACGCTCAAAAAATACAGTGGTTTACTATAACATTATTCACTTACAGGATTTAACCCACTTTTGATTCTTCTGAATAGGTTTTCTTTTCTCAATTGAAGTTTTATTCCTGTTTAAATGCCTTACTCTAATAAAAGGATTATTATGTACAAGGATAGAAATCAGCTAGCTTACCTGGTAGATAGAGTCCAGATTAGCCTTGATTACACATAAAACACATGACACAACACAGAAAAACTTAATGTTAAAATATTAAGTTTTTCTGTGTTGTGTCATGTGTTTTATGTGTAATCAAGGCTAATCTGGACTCTATCTACCAGGTAAGCTAGCTGATCCCTATCCTTGTACATAATAATCCTAATCAGCCAATTGGCCTTTCCTTAACTCCTTACTCTAATAAAAGTTTTTAGTCTTGCATAAAATCGGACAGCTTGCGGACACAAGTTTGTCCTTAAAATATTGTGGAATCGTTGAATAACTCCCCTCTTCCTATAGACAATAGACAATTCCTTTATTACAATTTCATCTAGAAATGTTACAGCGTCAAATTTAAATAAATAACATTGGTATAATAGATACAAAGTGAAATGGAAAAGCTTCTTCAGTGTTGTGTGTGGTCTTGCCATGCAAAGAACTCATTTAGGGTGTAGAAAGCTTTGTCTAGCAGCCATCTCCGTAGCTTCCTCTTCATCAGCACAGGGCCTCCAATTTTCAAGTGGTCTGGTAGCTTGTTTAGCATCTTCACTCCTGCATACAATGGTTTCTTTTCAAACATTTCTGTTCTGTGGCCAGGCAGGCAGGCAGTACATTGTTTCCTGCATATCTGGTGTTGTATTCATGTATATCTCTTTGTTTAGGCGGGTCTTTGGTTACACAGTAATAAACAGTATCTAGGATGTAGATGGAAGTCACCGTCAGGATGTTAAGGTTTTTGAAGGTATCTTTACAGCTTTGTTCTTTACTTAAGCCTGCTATTATTCTGATAGCCCTTTTCTGCATAACCAGGACCCGGTTAAGATTGTCCATAGTGGATCCACCCCAGACAGTAATACTATAGCGTACATGGCTTTCAAACAATGTATGGTATGCAGTCCTCGTTGCCTCAGGGGTACTAGTCTCTTTGATTCGTTTTATGGCAAAGCGAGCTGGCCCCGAGTTTTTGGCAAAGACAAGCTACATAATGATCCCAGGATAAATTTTCATCAATTATGACACCTAGATGTTTGATTTCTTCAGCTGCTGCCAGGTTGGGCATTTCAGATACTGTAGACTTTTTATTTCCAAAAGTCATTTGCTTGGTCTTACTTTCATTGAGGACTAATTCATTTTTCATACAGTAGTCCTGTGTCATATTGAAAGCAATATAGGTGTTTACTTCTAGTTGATCTATGTTTCTGTTTGCTGTAAGCAGCACAGTGTCGTCTGCATACATGACCATCTTGCTGTATTCCTCAAGGTGTTCCGGGAACTCATTAATAAACAGCCCAAACAGAACTGGCCCTAGGACAGAGCCCTGGGGAACTCCTCTGTTAGTCGGTAGCAATTCAGATCTGACAGTATCAGTAAACCCTTTTGTTGTGTGTTTTATTTCTACCATTTGGCATCGCCCTTTTATATAACTTGCAAACCATTTCAGAGATGTTCGCTGGATTCCAAAATTTTGAAGTTTAGTTAGAATAAGATCATGTCCCAAGGAATAAAAAGCCTTGTTTAAGTCAAGATACAGGCTGGTGATAGTGTTCCATTCAAAACTTCTTGTAATTTAGCTATTTAGTTATTTCAACAGTTATAAACATGGGAAAGAATGTCTTGATAACAAAATTGTATTTTCTTAATTCCTGCAGTTGAGACAATTTCCAGCTGCAAATAAGATATAAAAATGAAATAATATACATAAATACAATCTTTTTGTCATCAAGTAGAGTTACCTTGGCGAGGCAGGCCCGAGACTTGTCACTGTTGTCCTGACTGTGCCAGTACTGAGTCTGATGATGACACAGTGTCACGGCCGCCACCTGGTCAGCACCGGGAGGGATGTGGTTCACTACCTGCAATAAAAAATCATGTTGAATTCTGATATAGCTTGTAAACTCCCACTGATCTTAAGACGTGCAGATGGTTGAAAATATGGATTCAATTTAACAATTTCGAAGGTCGTGATTTTGTCCCAGTCATGGGGCCATAGCCGTTGTCATGACTGTACTTAATCATTAAGGGATGACAGCACTAGCATGTTGTGGTGGCAGTGAGTGATTGCTATACAGACCCAATACAACTTACCACGGCTATCACCTAATGAAGGAGTGGTTTGCAGATGTCACAGACAAACCAATCCTTTGATTCAATCCGTGACAAAATATGCTTCCTTAAATCCAAGCACCTGATAAATGCCTGCAGTCAACCGATCAGTTTCTCCTCAGGAAGGTGACTCCTCATACGCTCATTCTTATTAGACCTTCAAGATGGGTTGCCAAGGATATTCCGAGGATGGATAGGCCAAGACACATTGAAAGCTTTGACAACAAAAATAGTGAGAGGTGTTTTATTAATGAAGACTTACTCTGCCATCCACTACATTATTAATTGAGGTAAAGAAGGCTTAAATAAAAAAAAAATAATCTATCCATGCCAAATATTTACCCAGTACAATGCTGCAGAAGCCATCTCCTGGTCATTTATGTGTTTTACACACTCCATGATCTCTGCCATAACACTTGTGTTGCACTCTTGAAGTCGCCAAGTGCCTGCTTTGCCTTCCACACTGCCACCCAACTGTTCACTTGTCTGAAAACAAACATATTACTTTTGACTATTAATACAACTATTAATACTTTAGTATCTAATTGTCAATGGTATTACTAAAGTGTAGTTTTTAAGTAATAGCTATAATATGATATATAAAGGGTTAGATTGGTCACCTAAAGTAAGTTTGTTAATAAAGCAGATCTATGGAATAATAATTATTCTCTTAAGCGATCTCTTCCCGTTGCAAAGCGCGGGTATGGTGGCTAGTAGCAATAAAAAGGTAAACAAGAGTCGCAGCATATGTTAGTCAACGAATTATCTAAGATAGCACATTACAAATACCGTACAGAGAAAGGGGGAAGAACAATCGGATTAATGTCTTGAGCATAATTTACTACAAAATGAATAACCAATAATTAGGGTCACCGGAATTAGGTTGACGCACCATTGACTTTTAAATACCCAAAATTGCCATTCCATTTATGTGAACTAAATATAGGCCTATCATTTAGTTGGGATGTACTGCAAGTAGACTTTTTATTTCATTTATGTGAACTAGACGTACCATTAATGCAGACTTTGAATAGGCACTACAAATAGGAATTCTATTAATGTGAACCAAAGATACCATTGAGTTTGGATAGATTTCTCTTCTCATTTATGTGAAGCAGGTGTACCATTGATTTAGGATACTGCAAGTAGACAATTTATTTACGTAAACCAAATGTACCATTAAATTTGGATACTGCAAGTAAACAGTTCGTTTACGTGAGATGTACCGATATACAGTACTTTATAACCTGTAAATGGACATTCCATTTAAGTGAACCATGCGTACCATCAACTTGTATACTGAAAATAGATATTGTATTTATGCGAACCAAATATATCATTGACATTGGATGCGTCAAGTAGACATGAAATTTATGAGAACCAGATGAAAGATAGACTTTGGTTCCTGCTAGTAGACAATTCATTTACGTAAACCAGACTTATAATTGACTTTGGATACTGCAAATAGACATTCCATTTATGTGAACCAAATATACCATTGACATTGGATAGGTACTGCAAGTATATATTTCATTTAAAAGAAACAGTTGTAACATTGACTTATTGCAAGCAGACAACTGCATTGTACACCTAGTTTGATTTAATCTGGAGTTCGTAGTTAATTTTTATTAACAAAAAAATTGGTTGTTTTATTAAAAATAAATTTTTTTTTGAAAACTTTAATTAATATAAGAAATAGAATAAAAAGTACTAGCATTCATAACTTACCAACATCTGAATTGTGAGAGTGCACAACATGTCTTTTTCTAGACCAAGTATTGGAACAATGTTGTACCAGATTTTATAGGTTTTCAAACTTAGTTCAGGTTCTGAAAATAACAAAATTTACTTTTGAATTAAATAAGGATTCAACCCTTAACATGAGAGCATGCACACAATATCTCTCATACATTGTCTGTAGTGGAGAGTTAAAATTAGAGCTGTCATTGCATATACCGCCAGTTGTGAGGTGTTCTCTGAGATCAGTTTTTTGTTGACAAAAAGTCAAAAACAAAAGCAAATTTAAATTTATCACCAGATTTGTGATGCTTGTGGCAAAGGTGTGAAGAGTGAAAGCAGGAGACAATGGAGCATTACCTTTAAAAATAGTAACTAGTAACTAAGGGTGAGGTTCATTTGTCCGAGTTTTCAACTGTCCGAGTTTGTTAAAAATTACAAAATATTTGAAAAATCATTTGTCCGAGTTTTCAACTGTCCGAGTTTTGTTAAATAACTAATAATAATTAGATAAATCAACTTTCCGAGTTTTCATTTGTCCGAGTTTATTAAATTATTTTAAAAAATATCGAAATATCAAGTGTCCGAGTTTTCAACTGTCCGAGTATGGTTTAAATAATAATAATATTTCGTTAAATCAACTGTCCGAGTTTTCATTTGTCCGAGTTTTTAAATTATTTAAAAAAATATCAAAATTTCATTTGTCCTAGTTTTCAACTGTCCGAGTAGGGGCAACATCAAAATGTGACACTGCGCGCCGAGACTAGCGTGTCTAAAGCGCCTGTTCAGAAGTTGATGTGAACCCCTTCTGTGAAGGAGTCAGGCATTGTGCGAGCCGCGAAAGGCCCTCACGTCGACTTAAGAAAAATTATATTTTTTTATTATAAGACTAATTTTACAATTTTTAATTATAAAATCAAACTGTCATCACCAAACACAACCAACCAAACTTGCTTATAATATAATAAAAGCGGGGGTATTTTATATTAACAGAAGCAGGCCGTGAGTTGAATGTGACGTGGCGGGGAGACCGCCTTTAGCATTGCTCTACACCCAAATATCTTGGTGTCATACTGGACCGCACACTGACATTTAAGGCGCATTGTATTGCGACAAGGGGTAAAGTCTCAGCGAGGAATAATATCATCAGGAAGCTCACCAGCAGATGCTGGGGTGCTAACCCTAATGTCCTCATAACGTCAGCTTTAGCGCTCAGTGTGTCGGCTGTGGAGTACGCTGCACCAGTATGGAATGCATCGTCACATGCAAAAAAAGGTTGACATTGCAATCAATGACATGGCTCGGATTGTAACTGGGTGTTTGAAACCAACCTCAGTACACAAACTCTGTCCTATCATAGGGATCGCCCCTCCATCAATCCGACGTGATGTCGCTGCCGACGCAGAAAGGACTAAGCAAGAGACCGACCCTCGTCACCCCTTACACGGCCACCAACCTGCAAAGCGACGGCTTCGGTCCATAAAGAGCTTTTTATCACAGACACGAGTCCTGGATGGATCACTCTCAAGCAATCGGGTGGCAAGGTGGGAGGCCACGTTGATTAACCCTCCCATACCAGCCAGGGAGGAACTGACTCCGGGTGGAGGCCTGCATTACATGGTGTGGAAGACCCTAAATGGAATCAGGGTCGAGGTACCAAAATGCAAGTGAAACATGCAGAAATGGTGTCTCTTACCAGACGAAGAAAACATCTTGTGTGCGTGTGGTACTGTTCAGGATCCTGGCCATCTGCTGATCTGTCCACGTCTAGACCAGTCTTGCACATTAGATGATCTTTTACAAGCGAATGACAAAGCCATATCGGTAGGTAATTTTCGGAAAAGCGAAGTCTGATTTCCGGACACGGAAAGTAAAGTAAGTAACATCTCAAACCTGGCAATAAATTTTAAGTTGCGTGTACAATTTATTCAAACAAAAATCTGATCACAGATCCCACTTCACAAATGAAGGGACGTGCAATGATAGCACTAATTTTAATTTTAACACTCAACAGAAGCATACAAAAGTACTAGTGGTATGATATGATATTTATTGACGTTACTTGTGGAGGTATACTGAGAGTGGGAACGCTCTGATACTAAGATGTGATGAAAGCACCTATGAGCTAATGCGAAACATCTGTTATTTTCCGGAAGGCCCTTGAAGTCAGCAATTGTAAAGTAAATAAATAGAAAAACAAAAAAAAAAAAATATACAATACACAATAATAACCATACATAGACAATAATTTATGTCAAAGAGTTAATACTACATTCAATCCTACTTGTGCTTATTTTCAGATTGACAACGTATTACAGTTAAATATAGATGTGAGTAAAAGAACAAACCATCTGTCCTACTATGAAAGGGACAAAAAACGTCTATATTGTTAAGAAACAAACAGATGAAATAGGACTTACTAATGAAATCCCAAGATTTTTTCTTCTCAAAGAGCAGTGTGAACGGCAGTCTGAAGTTTGATATTGGAGGCAGATGGTTGGTGTTCGGATGCAGTTGGAACCATTGGTCATGTTCATCCCCTGACGGTGGACTGGAAAATAAACTACATGTAGCAATTTAATATTTTCCAGCCATAGAAGTTTGACTGGTGCAAAAAATTAGAAACTTGTTAAAAAAGAAAAAGAAAAACTGAACAATAAACTTCACATCAGTTGTTATACTACAGATAATAAAAAAATAACAAACAAAAACTAAAATAAATATTGCTGTTTCTAATAGGTTATTTATGCTGCTATTTAAGGTTTAATAGCTTTCTCTCGAACTACAATAAGTGAGCTGGTCTACGGGTAGAGCGCTGGACTTCGGTCCCAGATTAAAATCATATCAATTACCCGTCCAAGTGATAAAGCCACGACCTTAAGCCTTGCCTGAAGTATTTGAAAAACTATTTCAGGCTAAAGCCTAGCACTCATGGATGTAAAGGTGGGACAAAAACTGTAAGTTTATTTATAAAACTTGTCACTATTTTATCTTTGTCTCAATCTCACCTAATTCTCTTGTAACTTTGCAGGAACTCCAGCATGGTCTTGTAGTTGTTGATTTGTTTGACAGCTTCAGGCTGAGCCAGGACTTGCTGGTACATGTCAGCCAACACAAAGTAGACCTCATAGTAATAATAGTTCACCTGTCAATTAATGCAGATATTGTTAAAAAAACTTGTTTGTTTACACACCTCTAACTGCAAACAACAATGTAATGAAGTAATGTTTAGCAGCATTCATTAGTTTATTTTTAGCATAGAGATACTCCAAATACATCATCAGACACATCATAGGCGACATCCAGACAGACCAGCATTTTTAGCATACTGGGACGGTGGCGACGTCCTGTAATCCAGCTACTAGGAGGTCACGAATTGTGGATATTTATAGGCATGCACTGTGGATACGATACTCCCTGGATCCACACTAGTGAGTACTATGACTATTCGCAGTACTATCCTGATAATTAGACCAATTCGTTAATACCAAGGCAAAAATGTGGTTCAGATTCCACTATAAACTGTAGGTCCCTTAGTTGCCATTAGCTGTATGGGATATTAATTAACAGCTGTGTCTAAGGAATATGTCGGCCTTAGTCACCAACAAGTCTACATGATCGCACCACTCATCCTACACTCATCTCCATTCATACTTGGCTTAAAATACTTACGGTATTTGTATGGTTGCCATTTCAATGAAAAGCATTTACAGTATTTGTTGTTGGTATCATCAAATAAATCAACTTCAAGTGAGCTTGGCATGTGACAAAAAATCACAGGTTCTGTTTTTTAATTGGATATTGAGGTGGGGAAGATTTGAAAACGTTGTTATATTACATTTATAATAGGCATGGACGGTAGGACGGGTCCCGGGATTTCTTCCAATCACCTGCTTCCTGCAATTGCAGAGTTCACTAAGAAACTCAAGTTTGACTGACTCTAAAGCACTAAATGGGGAGCCCAATAAACCCACAGGTAGTTGACATGGCCAGAGACAATTTCCTCTATGCTCAATCAAAAAATTAATCAATGGATTGACATATTTCTGATAAATACGCTGTGTTACTAACCTTGTTCCACAGGTTGTACAATGTGCTCTGAATGGCCTCACTCCAATGCAAGGTTCCAGTCTCCGCAGACTTGGACGCCAACTCATGCAGCACAGAGCGACATTGCTGCTGTAGCTCTGCTCGAGTGTTCTTCACCATCATCACTGTCGGCAAAACATCAAATTATACTTGGACCTAAATGTCTACTGTCGAAATTCTGTGGGTAATCTGATTGTATTAAAATTACCAACAACCAAATATAAAGCAAATACAGTTATATTTCCACTAAATCAATAGAGAAGCTCAACACACTCAAGCATTATCAAACATAAAACACGCCAAAACATGTTCCAGATTCCACAATAGAACATAAAGTCAAATTGCAATATCGAAAGTGGATTCGAACATCACAACTAAAAATCAATATGTTGTCTCATGAGTCATGATGGTAACAAAAGTGATTTACTCATTTACCTTTCTCCCCTGTAGCAGGTTCTTCTGATATCTGGATGTCCGGCGCCCAGTTTAGTACGAGATACTCCAAATACATCATCAGACACTCTTGCACATCATAGGTGACATCCAGACAGAACTCCTTCAGAAGGAGAATGTTGGTGGATGGGAGGGAGATCAACTTCTGGATCAACTGTTTATGTTCTGTGTCTGAATCTTTGAAGGCATCTAGAAATAGAAGAAATTAGTACGGGAAATAAAAAAGTTATCTTATTGCAACTAAACTAAGAAAAACACTTAATCTCATTGGTTAATGTATTGATTACGAAACTATGGGTATCTAACTCAACTTCTTACGTATAGATTTCCACTCAAGGACTTGTTATAGTCTTAGTCTATCTTCCAAAATGTCAGAGTTTTCAGACTTTTACGTCCAGTTATGCCCTGGTAAAAGTTGTGAGTGACGGTAGTTTGGTTATGTTGATGGCCAGAAATCGGTCTTTGGAACTGAAAAAAGACTACATATAAGGGTGGGAGTTTTTTTAAAGCTGTAGATTTCTGCTAGCTTACAAAAGTAAAAAACATAACAATGATATTAAGTCCTAAAAAAGGACTTCTTTGAAGAGTAGATTGAAACAAAATCCTTGGACTTGCTCAGGTAAGCTACTGAACTGAGTCCAGTTTAGTAGGTCTTAGTACCTTTATAAGGGAGGCCGAGCTCGTTGAGTTTCTTGGCCCACTTGCAGGAGATGTGGTACTTGAGGAAGCTCTTAATGTATCTGTTGTCCATCTTGTTGACGGAGCTGAACATGAGAGCTAGTTGGGATATGGCGCTGAGCCGCTGGTAGTTAAAACCCACACTGTCACAAGCATTTGTATAAATATAAACTTCCATAATCACCATAACTTAAGTTATTTATTTATTTGTTATTTAAGACTCCCACTGGACGCATTGATGTGTTGTGGTCCTCACTTGTCATTTTGTTGTTGGCCTAATCATTAAAAAATTATATCTAAGCCTTGTTTGCACGATCCTTAATAATAGGTCAATTTCAATTACGAGAGCACTTGGACACACTCAAATACCTTTGAAGATGTCTTAACGCATAATGTTAAATTAACCTCTATAAAACGACTATTCCTATCAAAACAACCTCAATATCGATTACTAATTTACTTAACAAAACACTTTTGTACTATGTTATGTTAGTACTTCTTTTATACACACTATATTATTCTATCTTGCGTTTTTCCTTTTTTATAAAAATTTACCTTCGAGCTTCCTCCACAAGAAATTCCATTGCCTCTTCTTTTCCAAAAAACTGTACCAGCAAGAGAGCAAGATCCACATCAAAATTTCTCATCCTGAAAAGTTTTCTCAACAACTCTTTAACACATTGGATGAGGAACTTTTCCACTACATGGTCCTAGAAAACAAACAAAATTATAGTAAGTTATTTTAAATATCTAGAAAGTTTTTTTAAAAACAAGCCTAGAATTTTTCTTTATGCGTGTAAACTAGCTGCTCTTATTTATATTAAGTTTCAATCGACTACTTGATTTCCGTATGTAGTACGGGCCAACTGCTAGTAACATTTAAAACAAAGTAAATCTCTTATATTAATACGTGAGGGCTGTTTTTTGTGAACAAAACTCCTCCGTTATTTTTGGACTGATTTCAGGTGTCAAATAATTAGTCTCAATTTGTAGTTTTGCATAAAGGTTTTAGAATTTAAAAACTCTTACCCTTAAGGGCACGAGACACTCTCAAAGGTCGCATTTTCCCCATAAGAATTACATTGAAAACAAATTTAAAAACAAAAACAGCTGTATATAAAAAGAAACTCACCAGCTTATTGGGAGTAAATATTGATGTTTGTAATATTTAGGAGGTAATAGACAAATCTAAACAGTCAATCAGTTTTGTTGGAAGAACAGACAATTTCTTGAGTTTAAAGGAGAAATATTGAAAACAGGAGGAGGAGACAATTAATAGGAAATCTTATATGAGAAGAGTAGGGGAGAGGCCTGGTCTCACAGTAAGGAATCCATGTACACAATCACTTGGGGAGATGAATCATTTTTGCCAGTTATGCTAAGCAACTTATTTTGGAAGAAAAAAAAACTGGTGATGGACAAGACCTAAAACTTTGAGATTTTTTCGAGATTTTATTTATCTCGAAGCTTTGGGCGGGATTGAAATACTAACAGGATATTTTCGAGATAAGATTTAAAAAAAATTTAATTAAAATTTTTTTTGTAATTTTAAACAAATTTAAAATTTTAAAATAAAACAAAAATTGCGAAGACATTTATATTTCATTATTTATTCTTTACAGGGAAATATTGCTTTAAAATCTTTATAATTTTTTTTACATAGCAAATGGTAAGAAGTTATGTTAGAGTAAGTAATGTGAGACATGTTTTACTACTGTAAACTTGCCAAAATAAGTCACTCCAAAATCATTCTTAATTACACAAGACTTAAAAATTCTTACTTGATACTTAACTAGTAATACTTTGTTTTTGATATTTTTCCAAGTTGAACTATATACCAACTGATATCTCCATGTTTCCTATGCCGAAGAGTTATTTTTAATAAGTTAGGCCTGATTAATATTTTTTTTATACTGATGTTTTTATTAATGTTTTTTAATAAAAGATTTTAAATATTTTTGTCTATTTTTTTGTCAAGTTTTTAAAACTTGTAAATATTTCTGAACTTAAAAAGTATATATAATTTTGTTAATAACTTTTCATTAAATCTCGTCCCGAAAAAAAATCCCGTCCCGCCGGAAGTTAAAAAATCTCGTCTCGTCTCGAAGTAAAAAATCTAGTCTCGTCCATCACTAAAAAAAACATAAAGAAAAGAATACACACATCATGTTGTCACAGTGGTAAAGTAAATCTACCTAAAGTCAGATCAAATAAATACATGCAAGAAATTAATTTTTACTGGTAACAGCTTTAAGTCGGGGAACATTTGTAGAAAGCACTAAAAAATAAGGCGGGGTCAAAAAATTCTAAAATATTTTTACAAGTGTTTATTATTTCAAAGCGCTATTAAATAGCGTGAGTATTTCAATTAGTTACATAAGCATTTAGTCGGTTTTTGAAACTCATCGAAAATTATGACTGTTATTACTGTAGTTTTAAAATAACTTCTGTATAATACCGGTACTTGACAATTGCTCGATTTCGAGCAACAGGTACACTAGTAATAAAAGATTTCTTGTATAAGTTTGTACATCACCCTAACACTATATTGTTATTAAAGGGATTATTACAGAAATTTTTGCAAATCTTGTTATACTTTATCATCTGAGGACAGGGACAGATTCCAGATCCAAAACGTTGTCAACTTTCTTTAACTAATTAATTTATAGGATTATTCTTTAACATAATCCTAATGGAAAATGTTCCCGAAAATCCCTAAAATAATGTAAACCCAACATCACAAAAAAAAAAAAAAAAACAAACTTAAAACAAAGAATATTCTTAATTGCACATTTAAAAAAAAATGGACAAGAGATTTAAACAACAGTATTAAAGATTCACAATTAGAAATTCAACAATTTCAACAATCTTGGATTCGACAATCACTACTTGATAACTTACTTGGAACTTGGGGTTGACCGATGTCTGGGACCAGCAGTATTCACAGATGAGACGGATACACAACAAGTCATGTTGGGACTCGCGCAACCTTTGCCACATGTGCACCATCTCTCTCGGCTGTAACATAAAAGTTAAATGTCTCCGCATCCTACCATTGCATAGCTGTGAAATAAAAGTGAAGTCAGGGCGAACTGGAGTTTTACCTGCAATTACTTTGGATGACACAGCTCACTAGTTAAAATATAAAATATCTAACAAAAACAACTTTATTCTCAACCCAAAATTATACAAAGAATGATAAAACAAAAAGATTGAGTAGCCTACAATGTTTATGTTCACGTTTAATTAAAACCTCAATGGGGAAAATCGGGAATTTTAAAAGCTTAGAGGTTATTTTGGCCTTTGGCAGCTGGAGCGCCCTAAGATGAGAAACCTGCCTACCAAGGATCCTAGATCCCACACTACTATACTCACCAACTGCCATTTAGATGAAGTACAGACCTACTTAAAGCATCATCGTTTTACCTACTTGCTCAACATTGCCAAACACTTCCTCTTCACAAATTTCCCCCTCCTATAACAAATACTCAACTACTCTACACCTTCCTTACACTAATGGAGAAATTAAATATAAAGTATAAAGATAAAGTATATATGCTCAGGTTCAAGTACCTATATATTCATACGCAAGCAGTTTTCTTGTCACAGTCATAACTCAATAACGGCTGGACGGATTTTAACGTTTGAGGTGTCAAATTAAAAGTATTTTCACGTATATGTGAAAATATGTCTCAGTATATTAAGAAAAGACATCACTTAAGTGGCGCTATTGGTCCACATTGAATCAAACTCAATTCACTTTGTTTGCAATTTGCAACTAAACATATGGACATAGTTTGAAATATTTATTCATGGTAAACCAAAGACTGCAGGACTTTACTTCCAGAGCAAAGCCAAAATGAAAAAGAAATATATATTTTTATCGAAACATCTGTTTCCTAAGTCTGGTTAGTAAATAAAGAGTTTCCTAACAAGACTTCACAACAAATATAGGATTCAAAGAATTTGTTGGATTTATGTATTTAGCTAATCAATCCCTAAATATTTATTTTTATTTTTATAGGCATATTGGGTATCAATTTAAAGCTCTTATCCTCTAGATGTGCCTTTTGCGAGTTTGGATGATATCCTGTGAAAGCCTTCCGTCCTATAGGCTTTTAACATTTCAGAGTTTGTGCTGAATTCTGTTGTCAATCATATGAACTTTTTCATTTTTAAATTTGTTTACATCAAAACAGATGGCCATGATACAATTTTGTTTACATCCATACGTAAAAGGGGTTATCTTTACAGTTGGTGATGATTTAATGAATTCAAGTAAAAAATTGTAATGTTATTTGTATTTGTATAAAATGCAAAGAAGAAATTACTTGTGTTATATTTTGTGTTTTCATAGTATATTTTATCGATGTTTTAGCAAATTCAAGTAAATATTAATATTGTAATGTTATTTGTTTAAAATGTAAAGAAGAAAATAAATGACTTGTGTTAGATTTTGTGTTTTCATAGTACCAGTATGTTCATTAGTATTTGGAAAAAATAATTAAAAAGTCATGATTATATTTGGCTTAAAAAATTACAAGCCAGTGAAGTTAATGATTATCGAGTAAAAAAATATATAACATTTAACTTAACTCAGAGCAATAGAAAATTGTAAATCAATTCTGATAATATCATGGATTTTGAAGTCACGAAGTGACGCTGGCTGCTAGTATGAATATGACAATTTTGTTAACAGTGAACCAAATTTATATCTGATTACATTCCAAAGGCATCTCTACTTCACCAAGATACATATAGATTACAGACAGTAATAAGAACCGTGAAGGATGTGCAATGACGAATATACATGAGAAACATTTTCAAAATTTGAGAATTCAGACATTAACGGGGTTGTATATTCTAGAATTATTAAATTACATACATTCAGTTAAAAATGAGCTACCAGAAACAATACATTTTAATCACAGGTATGAAACCCAAAATGAAAATATATTTAGACTCCCCAGACACCGTTTGACCCTATATGAAAAATCTCCATTGTATGCTGGGCTGAGATTGTACAATGTGCTTCCGCCATGCTATAAGTCATTAAGCAAAACCAAATTTTAAAGAGACAATAGATAATTTACTTATTGACAAGGCTTTTTACTTAATTGAAGATTTTTACAAAACTACAATTTAGAAATTTTTTTTATTTTTTCATTTTAAGTGTTTAATTTTAAGTTAAGTTTTAATGTTATATGTTGAATATTTTATGTATGGATTTAATTTTTACAATGCACCTATTCTAAATTTGATGACATGTATGGAATGTTTTGCACAAATAAGGTATGTCTATGTCTATAGCCACAAAATATGCCTCTCGGTTAACATATTATTTCATTTTCCATGAAACAGTTTTGCTCTGTTCATAAGTAAAGAATAAAGTATTACAAAAATAATTACCTCAAAAGTAAGTTCTAAACCAGCAGACACAGAAGCAGTAACACTTTCACTGACAGGTATCTTATTATTCTCTGTAAAGTAAAAAATGTTAATGTTTAACATCTGTGAATGAAATTGCTTTGCATTTCCTCCTACAGATATGGTTAACAATTTAACTGAAATATTAGAATTTTTTTTATCCTAATCAGAGTATTTAACAGTTTGGTTATGCTATAAGCAATAGTCAGAAGAAAGTCAAAAGTATGTACGAGGGTTGTTCCAAAAGTAAATTACACTCTTTTAAAACGGTAATAAAAAACTCCAGAAAAACTTTGTAAAGGATATATTTTTAAAGCTACACTCAAAACCTATTTTTCTACATAGTTGCCTTGGTTTTCAATGCATTTTTGGTACCTTGGCCAAAGTTTTTTAAACCAGCTTCATGCCAATCTGCCGCCATACTGTTTAGCCAACTTTCAACTTCTTGCTTTAGATCTTCGTTGTTTGCAAAGCGTTTTCCCCTAAGATGTTGCTTCAGCTGTGGAAAGAGATGATAGTCGCTTGGTGCGAGGTCAGGGGAATAAGGCGGATGTCCAAAAACATCCCACCAAAACTTTTCAAGCAGGTCTTGTGTTCGTCTGGTAGCATGTGGGCGAGCGTTGTCGTGGAACAAAAAAACTTTTTTTGTCAACTTCCCTCTTCTTTTGTTCTGTATTGCCCTTCGTAGGTTTTTTAACACCTCACAATAACGTTCTGCGGTAATTGTGGTCCCATGAGGCAGGTAGTCAATCAGTAACATACCCTTTGAATCCCAAAAGACGGTTGCCATAACTTTTCCTGCAGATTGCACGACTTTTGCTTTTTTTGATTGTAGAAAAAGGAGGATAGCAGCTAGCTTACCTTGAAAGTGTGGGTAGGCCATGGAACAAGTATATGGCCTACCCACACTTTCAAGATAAGCTAGCTGCTATCCTCCTTTTTCTACAATTTAAAATCCTGGCCTAGAGCCTTTCATAAACAAAACTATCCTTTTGCTTTTTTTGGTGCAGCCTCATCTTTTGCTTTCCACACCATGCTCTGTTTTTTTTGTTTCGGGAGTCCAATGATGAATCCATGTTTCATTTCCGGTCACTATTCGGTCAAATAAACCATCCCCTTCATCATCGAAAAATTGCTGAAATTGCAATGCTGCATCAACTCTCTGCTCCTTGAGTTGTTCTGTGAGCAAGCGTGGAACCCATCTTGCGCAGACTTTTGAGAGGCTTAGATCTTCAGTAATTATTCGATGAAGTGAAGTACGGCTTATTTCAACATTTGGAGGCAGTTCAGTAGGTAAGGATGTCATCAAGTGTAAGGCGGCGATCAGTGTCAATGACCCTTCTGACGTCTTCGGCAATGCTCGCAACTTGGGAAGTTGAAGGTCGGCCACTTCTTTGTTCATCATGTGTCGTTGTCCGTCCATCAATGAATGATTGGCGCCAACGATGAACCATAGGCCTAGACATAACGTCATCACCGTACACACTACAAAGTTTGCCATGAATCTCAGTCGCATTTTTATTTTTAGTGGTCAAAAAACGAATGACAGCACCCACTTCACAATCGGCGGCAGGAACCAGTGGTAACTCCGTGACGGCTAGCGCCTGACTGGCGTAGCGAGCCACGCCCAGCCTTGGGCACGTTGCAGTGCTGCCACAACACCCAGACGCTAATTCCCTGCTACTCCCAGACTTCTCCCTCATACCGCACAGATTTTATAGAAAAGTGTAACTTACTTTTGGGACGACCCTCGTATATTCCAATTCTCATAAAGTTTTTGGGCAAAAACCTGAATCAGGAGCATAAAGTGACCAAGTATAAAATCAAATTATTCACTCTTCAGCCACTATTTAAACCCAATGCAATGTGAGTACAGTACTAAGAACGTACTGCAGGTGCTGGCGTAGTAGTGCAAGATGTTTTGTATGGAGGAATGAAGCAGCACAGCAGTAGCAGGGGTTGGTGTCGGATCTCCGTATAAAGACTTCATCACTGGCTTGGACAGACCACTTCCTTTAGCAACCAGGCTGACCCATCTCAGCACACCATCCAGTTCAGCTGTAACAGATTGTCAATGTAAAGTTATGTGAACTAGTTAAATCTCAATACCGTAGAGTGGTACCTGCTATTTGGAACGACGTCACGACAAATATCGAACAAGCTCACAATAACGCCACAAATGTTGGAAAAACTGGCAATATTACGGGAACGACGAAGGAGCTAGCAATAGTTCCACGAACTTCACCGAAGCTGGCAATATTGCAGAAAGTTAGCAATATCAATGTGTTGTTGGCAATGTTAGCAATAACACCATGAACATTGAAGACACTAGTAGAACGTCAGCAAGGCTTTTGATGCTACCACATACGTTGGTGATGTTAAGGATATTGCCTGAAATTTCCTATAATCAATTTATGATACTGTGAACAATGACAAAACTAGCAATATCTCCAAAAACAGGGGTAAATTTAGCGACACCACAAATGTCGCCTAAATTTGAAGTGTTGCCGTGCACTGTGGCGAATTTAGTTATGACTCTGTGAACAAAAGAGTATCTTTCGAATTAGTGATGTGTCGATACCCAAATTTATCAATTCTCGATACCGATACGGATACCTATAAAATCGCTTCTCGATACCAATAAATACCAATACCATTTCGATATAGTTTAATCTTCAAGCAGATTTTCTGCATGGATTGGTTACACTACTCCAACTCTTGTCTTAATGTCCTTCCATGAAATATATTTTTTTTTTAATTGGTTTTTCAAGTAAAGAAAAAATTAATGCAGCAATACAAAATTTTATCCAGCCAATATAAGTATACCCCCTTCTAAAAACTATCATATTAAACGTAAATGAAGATCTAAGGACAAAAGAAACAAAAATCAAATGTTATCTCCTGCGGTCGTTTTGACATCATCATCGTATCCGCAATTGTGGCAAAATCATCTCACGGTTATGTGGACAATATCATCATATTCCGCGATCGCGGCAAAATTCTAATCATATTCCGCAACTGTGAAGCCATCGTCATCGAATTCACCGCGGTCACGTAACACCATCGTTTTGCGCGATTAAGGCAAAATCATGAACATTTCCTGCGGTCGTATGGCCATTACCATCGTCTTCCGCAATCGCAACAAAACTCTGATTTAGATTTAGACCATCTCCCTTGGCCGTGTGAACCTCATCATCGACTTCCCTGCGGTCATGGAAACATCATCGTCTTCTTGCACAATCGTGGTAAATTCATTATTATTTTTCGGCCGTCTAGACATTATCATAGTCATGGTTTGGGGAGATCCAGGTAACTGTACCTGTTATTGTTTACAGTTGGAGAGAGTAGATCATTACAAGTATCTGTATTTATCAAAGGATGTGAATTTATCTACGTGTATACTCACAACAGTCCGTGTGTGTGAGACAGAGCAGAGCCAGCTTGTTGGAGACCTCAGTGAACAGTTCTACCAAACTCCCCGGACTCTCAGCTGGCTTGTAGTGAGCAATCAATAGTCCCATCAGATGAGCTAACTTGTTGTACAAATATTGTGGCTTGCCATCCAAGTCTTCTACTTTCCTGTCATAAAAAACAACTTGATAATTGGAGAAAAAATAAAGTAAAGTACAACTTAAACTATCCAAACTCAAATCCAAATAGCTTCCAATCTGAATAGTTTAATGGAAGAATTTTAACAAACCTAAAACTAGTAATACAATCTTTACTAAACAAGGCAGAAGCCATGATTGTGGCGAAATTCTGAACATCTGCTGTGGTTGAGTGGAAATCATCATTTCCTGCAGTCACGGAAACATCATCATTGTCTCATGTGATTGTGACTAAATCTTGACCAACTTCTGTAGTCGTGTAGACATTATCAGCGTCTCATGGTCACAGAAAATTATAATCGCCTTCTGCTATTGCGGCACAAGCGTTGTTTTTTTGCCGCAAAATTCTTGCAAACGTATACTGTGATAAAACCCTAAAGAAAGCCTAAAAAAGTAAAAACCAGCTTGACTTGTCCCAATTTCTATGAAAAACATACTCAAAATTTCAGTAAAAATCCAACTATATGAATGTTTGATCATCAGAATATGGTACGGTTCCCATTGATTCAGATAATTGGATTTCTACTGTACATTATTGATTGCCTAATTTTACTTTTTTAAATTATTATTTGTCTTTTTAAATTTTTATTAGTAATTGTAATAGTGTAAATTCTGCTATTGAATCTTGCAATTACAGTGTATTGCAAGTGGAATGAAAATTCTAACCATTGAACCACGAGCCTTACACAAGATCAATTTAGGCTACTCCAATCAGTTTGTGTGAAAATAGATCATATATTAAAGCTCAGTATGACTTTAGATTTAATAAGGGAGTTCAATCTATTTATACTTTAAATGCACACTATGGTGCATATTTTTAGCTTCAAATAAGGGTTCAGAGTGAGTTTGGGACACAGTTAGATGACCTGTGTACTGACACTGAATAACATCAGCTGTTTCTTTAGCCAGATTCTTTAGGCCTAATTATAAGCCCTTTCACCAAGACCAGCTGTGTTAAGATTTTGAACCATCAAAAACCTACTGGGAAATTTCAGATTAGTTGAGCAACATAACTATAGGTCGGCCGGTTAGAAAACGACCTCCTCGTAGCATTGGTGCGAGAGAGAGATACCGAGCTGTGGGAGTGAGACAGACGATTGCTCTTCCCCACTCCGCTGCCGCCCCACCCCCACCCTACCCGAACACCTTAAATATTATCAGCAATTAAATTATACAGCTGATCAAAATATAAACAATTACGTTCTTCATAACTTGAGAAAAATAGGTCCTGAAAAAAATATTGTATAGCCAAAATCGCATAAATATTTGAGCATTATGAAATGTTATTATATCATTGTGTAAGCAGTTCCATTTGGTAACACAGGATTCCAACTCCCACGACACCGGGGCGGCGCCGTGTCGGTGTCGTGCCGGTGTCGTGTCGTGCAGTGTGAAAACGGCCATTGGCAGAGAGGGGGAACATACCCTCCCTCGCCGTTACCTCCCCTACATGCGCTAAAAAATTTGTGCAGGTCGTTTTTTAACCGGCCGACCTATATTCAGTTATACAGCTTAAAAAGTTGTCAAGGATAACAACAAGTTTATCAACTGAACACTTGAATCATAAACTGTCACTCTTTACGTTTTCACTTTGGAATATTTGCAATTTGGAATATCTGTAATTTTTAAATGGACTTATCATTATAAAAATGCAGAGAGGATAGGTTCCCCCGAGATCAAACTTTATAGAGTAAGAGTAATAAAATAATAAAGTGGCAAACCCTGCGACGATGAGTGTAGTTTCCAGAGGAAGATCGTTGGAGAGGCAACACAAGGCTAAATCAAGAATGGCATTCTCCACAGGCAGAGAAAGTAGGTACGCCAACCTTCCCATTCTCCTCAAGGGGGAAGTAGTAGAAATACCGTCAGTGGCCGAAATCAGCTCTGTAAAATATCAAACAATACCATTTATTAACATAAACACAACTATCTATATATTAACATTTGAAAATTAAACAAATGATCAGTACTAATTTATTATTAGGATAACATAGAGTAGCATAAATCATAAATCATAATTTATTAGATATAAGAGTTATAAGAGTTTTTAAAATCACAAACATAGATAAAATTGAATCTTATTAAATAAAGGAGACTTATAAAGAAAAAAAAGGAACATTAAACACTGAGCATAATCAAAATCTGTTTCACTGCCAGGACCACACATATGAAACATGTCTTTAAAACTTACATGTACTCAATCTTAAGTTTTAAGGACTAAACAACCTTATCCTAATCAAAATGTACCTTGGCTACAAAAGTTATATTATATATATTTTCAAGACAAATATTTGCCTCACCTTTAGCTACTTTCTCTGCATAGTCTCGAAGAATGGTTTGTCTCTCTTTCAAAGTTGTGAGTTCACCTTTGCTCGTGATATCAAACTCCATCTGTAGAAAAAAGTTACTTCAATCTAATTGTAAAAAAAATTTATTTTCTTTACAAAAGTGTCTTTTTTCTAATGTTTCACCAATCAAAATTAGTTAACACCTTGTAATTTCTTAACACTAAATATACACTTTTTTCAAAAGTATTTTGTTATTAAGGTGTAATAGAAGAGTGCTTCGCTTTGTATAGAGAAAGTTTGGCAATGTTGAGCTAATAGGATGCAAGTGTTGTTAAAAAATAACTTGGGCTGGCCTACAGAAGGAACATAGCAGCGCACACAGAATGCACACCTCCTAGACGGACAGTCTAGGTAGGCAGTGTATTCGACGAGAGACAGTTTATGAGAGGAGGCAATGTGGGGATTGTTGGAGAAATGGTTTCACTGAAGGAAGTTAACACTGGAGCCTTTAGTCTTGGAGCCTGGAAAGGTTTAGGTATTTATAAATTGGGGATTTAATTTATTTTCCTATTCTGAATGGAGATTTATATTGAAGACGTAGTGAGCATTTTTCAGATTGCAATACCTTTGGATCAACTCTGGGGTATATGCACTAAGGAGGCTCTCAAAAATTTGTTCAACAGAGACTCTGAAAATAGTGTATTTCGCCTATATTCATTCAAATATTGCCTTTGGTCTTTCATTATATGGGGCAACTTCCATTCAAAATTTGAACAAAATACTAAAAATTCAGGAACAATCAATTCAGATTATATTAAGATTAAATTATAATGAATCGGTAAAACTCTTTTTTTCTAAAATTGGTATCATGACTGTATATGCAATGTACATTTATGAAACTATAATTTCTGTGAAAAACCGTCAAGACCAACTTCATTTTGTTGGAGATACTCATAATTATAATACAAGATTCAGGAATAGAATTGGCATTGACAAACATAAACTTGGATTTTATGGAAAAAAAGCCAATGTATATGGGGTCAAAATTTTATAATATGTTACCAAAATCCATTAAATGTGAGAAAAATATTAATAAATTCAAAAATCAACTAAAAAAATATCTTATTGATTTAACATTATATTCTTTCTCCGAATTCCCATGTAAAAATGATGTGTAAAGAAAGTTTTTAGTTCTGTTTTTCTTTTCATGCATATAACTATATCTTTTGTTTTGACAGCCTTAGTATTAACCAATCTTAGTTATAATGTATCTTAGTATTCATTAATATTGACACCATTCTATGTACAGAGTACTAATATTGAATAAAGATTTGATTGATTGATTGATTGATTGATTGATCGTTATTACAAATTGATTCTTAAAAACTATTTTTTTTCAACAAATAGTGAGTGTCGATACCAAAATGTATCAATTCTCGTTTCTTCACCGATACCAATTTTTATAAATAGTTTAACCAAATTTTCTAAATATTTTCTAAAATTTTGAACATTTCCCGTGGCAGTTTAGACATTGTCGTCGTTTCCCGCAGTCACGGAAACGTCATCGTCGTTGTCCGTGATCGTCGTAAAAGCAAGAGCATTTCCCGCGGCTGTGTAGATATCACCGTCATCTCCTGCGGACACGGAAACGTCATTGTCGTTGTCCGCGATCGTGGCAAAAGAATGAGCATTTCCCGCGGCTGTGTAGATATCACCGTCATCTCCTGCGGACACGGAAACAGTCATCGTCGTTGTCCACGATCGTGGCAAAATCATGAACATTTCTCATGTGCGTGTAGACATCATCGTCGTCTCCCGCGGACGTCTCCTGAAACGTCATCGTCGTCTTCTGTGATTTCGGCAAAATCATTAACATTTCCCCAGGCCGTTTATACATCATCGTTGTGTCCCGCGGTCATGAAAACGTCATCGTCGTCCGTAGCTAAGATGTACGCTTTGCTGTGTTTTTAAAGAAAATTTAAATTATTGAATCACCTGCTGCATGCAAGATAAGGTCAGTAAATTTTTTTTTTACCACAAGAAACATATCTGATCCCGAAATGCATTGCCAGATGACTGAATGTTAGGGCCCAGTGTTATGAGTGAAGGTAAAGTGAAGAAACTGGTTAGGGAGTGTAAAAAGGCTATGATGTAATGCTTCAGATTATATTTGTATTTTATTTTTTGAAAAAAAGTTATTTTGTAGTTTGTATACGTGGAAATACACTGATTTGATTTGATTTGAAAACCTTTTTCTTTTGTGGTTTTCTGTGAGAAGTCTGGGTTCCCATCAAAAACACAACTCCTTCCGAAATGGACATTTTCACAGTCATTTAAAAACTTTCTATTCCATTTCTTTACTTTACCCTCACTCAATCCATTAGGGCCATAACCTTCAGTCATCTGGCGATAAATGTTGGTATCAGACATGTTTTTTGTGGTCAAAAACCCTAACACTGACCATATCTCGCATGCAGTGGGAGATTCAATTATAAAAAAAAGCTACAAGCGGATCCATTTTGTTCACAGCTGATGACAGTAAGAGGCGACGAGCCTTGTTGCGCGAACTACAGAGCTTTATGCAAAATCAGGCCTTACTTAAAAAAAAGACCCTCGTATTAGATCGAACCCAGTCTTTTTATCCTTTCACAAAGTAATAGTGTGTTTTTGACAGTTTTTTTTTTTTTGTTTTTTGTTTTGGAGCAGCAATGCAAAATTTATCCAGCCAACTCAAATGTTAACCCTTTTAAACAATTATCAAAACAAAATTTTATTATAACTAGAGGCTGATGCTCGAGGTGATAATGTCTCCCGCGGTCGTGGGAACATCTTAATTGTCTTCCCTAATCGCTAGGAAATTTGGTATTTTGCTAAGCATTAACGGATACATGAAAATATTGAACATCTCCCACGGTTCTGTAGATATTATCATTGCCTCCTGTGGCCACAGAAACGTCATCGTCGCCATCCACAATCGCGACAAAAGCAAACATCTCCAATGGCCATGTAGACATCATCATTGTCTCCCCCAGTCACGGGAATCCCATCGTCATAATCCGCAATAGCGGCAAAAACGTGAACATCTCCCATGATCAAGAACATCATCATCGTCTCCTGCAGTCACAGGAGCATCATCGTTATAATCTGCAATTGCGGTAAAAGCGAAAATTTATTGATCTTCACACATGTTTTAGGTATCGGTCTTGGCATCAACATTGGCAATTTATTCTCGATACCAATACTAATGTCCAATATTCGATGGTATCGAGAAATGGTATTGAGAATCGACACATCCAACATCCCTATACAAAATCACTTCACACATTACAGCTAAGTTTCGTACAACAACACCGTTTAATCCGTTGAGTATTCTCAAATGGGATTAACTGGTAAAATCTACGAATATCCAAATAAAAAACCAACCTTGAGTTTGTGTTTTGTCTTTAAATTGGCAAGGAACCTTTGGTCTCTCTGGCTGTCAAGTTTAGATATGATGGTAAAGAAGTTAGGAAGTTTCTCCCAGGACAGGTGAGAGATGCGTCTGTGAATGTTGAACAATAGTCTGGTCACACATTCAGCTGGCAGAGTCTCCTCTAGTGTATTCAGAAGCTCTTCTACCATCTTGCTCTCACTACCAACAAGCCAAATAAGTACATGATTACAATTTGTCAATGATAGTATTGAGTTACACAACTACTTATGAATATCTTATTGTTTGCAAATAGTTAACAAATCCTGCCAAGAAGCCAAATTCAAAATTAGATTACTGACTAAATTAGTGACACCCTATTCATTTTTCACACATAGAATGAGTTGTTCAAACATAAAAAAAGTGTTTTCTTAAAAAAGACATTGACATGTAAGTACAGGAGGACTAGTAAAAAAAATACATATAATTTATATTCAGTACTGTATATTAAGGCAACTCACCCTTTTTCAACCAAACTATTCAGAACGATATCATAGATGTCACTAACATCTTCCCTGGCATACTTTGCCACTTCATAAATATCTTCCATCATTCTTGGTTGGCACTTTTTCAAAATCAGACGAATCAAATTCTGTAAAACAACATGAAATTAAAAAATTTTATTAAAACAATTAATCGGATTAAAATTCATGTTTCTGGCCACTGGAACCATCTTGCCCAACAAGCCATCTACCAACAAGCCAAATAAGTACATGATTACAATTTGTCAATGATAGTATTGAGTTACACAACTACTTATGAATATCTTATTGTTTGCAAATAGTTAACAAATCCTGCCAAGAAGCCAAATTCAAAATTAGATTACTGACTAAATTAGTGACACCCTATTCATTTTTCACACATAGAATGAGTCCCTTGTAAATTTTTATTTATTTATGGTTTTTAAGATATTTAGCCTTAGAAACAAAAAACAGTTGCCATTTTCAAATGGTACAAAGTAGAAACTTGATACTAAGTACCGAAATAGATCTTGTTATTCCACATGCACATACCAAGTTTGAATTTAGTTCCTCAGCAGGTTAGTAATAGCAAGATATGATAAATTATGTAAAAACAAAAACAAACCCACAGACGGAAAACCAAGCAGTTTAGGACATATGTTTGTATCAAATTTTTTTCTTATTTTTACCTCAACAATCATGCAGTAAAATATTTCACAATAATTTCCGGACATCCTGTATATCAAAGAACCCAATAACACGAGTAATCTTGGTCCGATTTTGATTAAATTTGGCTTGAATGTGTAGGGCGGGATGGACTTGAATGAGTTCGCGAACCAGTGAGATCGCCACAGGAACATTATAAGGTTTTGAAATACTAAAACATTGTTTTTTTTTTCAAATTTTTACCCTTAAAACATGGAAATGGCCATTTTTCAATACAACCATTGTGTAGATTTAAAAAAACAAACCATTTTGTAAGAAGTGTAGTAAAATTAAAGACTATGGGAAGAAAATTCAAAAAACTATATAGGTATTTAAGACTCTCATGTTATTCTTATATGTAGAAAAAGAAAACTGTTGTGGTTTGCTTTTTTATATACGGTATGTTGATTCAATTTGGAAAATTTTTTATTTCATCCCATATTATTAACATTTGGACAAATAATAGAGATGGCCGGGTCCCGATTTTCGGGACGGGATTACATTTAATTCGGGAATTTTTTAAGAATGGGATTTGATTCAATCGTTGGCGATTTTGCCGCTTCGCGAGTGACAGTGACCGCGAGATATGTTCACAATAGTTCTGTAAACGCATTAGGCGAAGTCATTTCGACGATCGTGCCGTGACCGTGAGTCATTTCGACGATCTTGTTGTGACTTGGAGTCTTTTCGACCATCGTGCCATGACTACGAGTCATTTAAACGATCACGCTGTGACCGCCTGTGGTTAATACCTGTTTGTGGTTAGATTAGGTAAGGGTATTTTATAATGAGATTGATTTTTAGTCATAAGGTTTTTTCTCTACCTGTAAATTTTTGCCCATTAATAGGTTTTATAATCAGTGCCATAAACAGTAAAAATTTGATTTTTGTTTTTTGTCTTTTTTTTGTAACTGCAATACTCAAAACTTTTAAAACAAACCCTTTTTTGCACAAGAAAAATCGGTAAGGAAATACAAATCCCGTCATGTCCCAAACTAAAAATTCAATCCCATCCATCCCTAACAAATACACTTTTTACCTCCCCCGTAACAGCAAATCTAAGTACTCTTTAGTCTATTTTTTTTTTTTTTATGGGGAATACGTTTTGTTTATGGAAATATTTTTATAATAATCCAATCAGACAAATTGAAATTCGCTTATTCTGCAGGTTTGCTGCGGCGGGGTTATTTTGATCTTTAATATGAGCTATAATAAACATAGCTTTATTTTTTATTAGTAATAAAAAATTTATATTATTTAATTCTTAGTGATTAATAGACACTTGCTCGTGCCACTGCTTCTTTGAAGCCATTTCTTAATTCCCATTAAGAAGAGTGCAATCTAATTTTAAAGAGTCCTAGTTTGTAGACACATAACCAAAAAAATAATCACAGCTTTGATGCAAACAGACACATTTAAATGCTAAAATTTCTTAATGCTCGGTAGCTGATCAGATTGACACCAAAGTTCGCAACTGGTGGCAATCCTCCATACATCACAGAAGAGATTTAGTCCATGGCCCCGGTGTACACTACAAAGTATGATTACCAAATCTTACCACGTTGCGGACCGTGTCCACTTTGACTCTGTACTCCTTCATGATCAGTCGCCGAGGGACGTTACTGCTCTCGTTGCGTACATCATTGGCTTTATCTCCAGGTAGCCGAGCACCTTGAATGGTAAAACCAAACAGTTAAACCACTAGTAAATTTATATAGAGCTTAAAAAAACCAACAATTTGAATTTGGTATATTGAAGTGTTGTTGTACTCTTAACGGTTATGGAGGTAATTCAAACAAAAACTTTACATTTAAAATTACCATGTTACTCCATGTTTCGTATTACGATGTTATTAGTAATTACCATGTTACTCTTATAGGTAAATGGTAAGTGAATGGTTGTAGTTTGCTATTTATATGTAGTTGCTATTTATCAGTCGATGTCAATGTGTCTTCAGTCATCATCATTGTCTTCCAAAATCGCGGCAAAATTCTGATCATCTCTCGGGATGGTGTAGACATCATCAATGTCTCCCGCAATCACAGAAAAACTCTGATCATCTTCTGTGGTCTTGTGGACATTATTATCGTCTCCCATGGTTAAGGCAAAATCCTGAGTATGCCCCACAGTAACAGAAACATTACTATCGTCTTCCACGATCTTGGCTTAATTCTGATAGTATCCCTCGTTATTGTCGTCACCTGCAATTGCGGAAAAAGCAGAAATCTTCCCAGACATGTCAGGTATCAGCATAGACTTTTGACAATCGATTTTTGATACTCATACCAATGACCAAGTAACAGTTGGTATCAAATGTTGATATTGAGATTCAACACATCACTACTTTTCATGGATACATTTGAATCAAATGTGGCATATCTATTTATTGCATACTGAACTAATAGCATTTTATTTAAAAAAATGCCCTTCCCTGCAGCAGCAAAACCAAGTACTCATTTAATCTAAGGTTCTTTAAATAGAGAATAAACCTTATTTAAGGAAATATTTTAGTAAAAATCGGTCATGAAAGTAGAAATTTGCTTAGTCTTTAAGTTTTGTGCAAAGAGGATATTTATCTTTATCTTTGGCAACTACAAATAAGGAACCTATGCAACAATTCATTGTTCTCCCTCCATATTAACGAGAATGAGTCAGCAAGCCTTAGGCCCAATTCACACCGAACGGACGTCGGGCGGAGACGTGGCACGGACGAGGCACAGACGTGGCAGTGACGTGGCGTGTTCAATGCACACCGAAGGGACGGTGAAGGGACGGTACAGTGGCGAGACAACCTGTATGTAGACTAAAAGCTTTGGTTTTTGCTTATTTCTATTAATGTCAATGGTGTTAGTTAATTTCTGTCAACTTAATTAGTACAAACAAGGGAATTGTTCTACTTCCTCACAAAATTTGATATTAAATTCAATGTCGTCTCGCATAGTGAAGAAACAACTCACAATCTACACACAAAAACAACTCTACACAAGAAGGTTGGTAAGTAAAAGCACACTATACACAAGAAGGTTGGTCAGTACAGTACAATACTTGCATTCCGAACAACGGGCGCGCTACGGACATGCCACTTCCGATACGCCACGAGGGACGCCGAAGCGACGTGGCGGTGGCGGGAGGGCGGCCGCCCGCGCCACGTCACTTGTGTGTGCATTGACCAATTTGTTTACATGGGGAGGCGAGGAACGGACATATGTCTTCGCCACGTCCGTGCCACGTCTCCGCCCGACGTCCGTTCGGTGTGAATTGGGCCTTAAGGAATTTTTCTAGGTTATTATTAGGATAACAGTTTTAAATCATTAATTGAGCAAAATACCTTGTTCTGCCAGCTGTGTCACCAGAGGGGTCCAAGGGACTGGAGCAGACCTCAACACATGCAAGATGGCATCTAGTTTCAGCTGTACCAAATAAGACATATCATTCAATACAAATGCATGCATATATGTGTGTGTGAACCTAAAAAATGTAATATAAAAACAGCAAAACTATTAGAGGTGTGAAATCTGTCTGATTTTCAAACTGAGTAAAGGCTGACTTAAAAGCATGAGTAGTCAAGCACCAAGTTCAAAAATCTAGCTGAGCCGAGCTTTTATTTTCTAAATATTATCATGATCACAAACTCTATGTTAAAGAAAATGTTTAACTAAAACAGGAAGGCCTTCTAGATATTTATGCCACATTAGTGACACCGATAAGCCAGGGTGGTTTTCCCTTTCACACCGAGGCATTGTGTTATCTAAGTAACCAAGTGAAAAGAAAAACAGCATCTGTAATTTTATTTTTATACAATTTTCTTATTACCGTACTCAAACATAGGCTTGACTACTACTACTACTTGAACTATTACCTCTGTATAATAAACAAAGTATGAGTACACGAAATGGCTGTACCTGAATGCTATGAAGGTGTGGCACCAAGGCAAACACTCGAGCTTCCCAAGGTGCCTCATCCCAGAACCACCAATCTTCACATTTCATAACAATTTCCTGTAAAATTACCACACTATTATTTAATAAATCATTCAGGGTGTCTAGTTTATTTCCATTATAAAATTCAAGACTAATTCCAGACTTTTCAAGACTAATTCCAGATTTTTCAAGACTAGTTTTTTCAACAATTAGTGCGTGTTGATACCAAAATGTATCGATTCTCGATTCTTGATACCGATACCAATTGTTATAGCTTAACAAAATTTTCTGAATAATTCTACACCAACCCCTGTCTTTGTCATAAAGTAGTATTATGATAATGTGGTGTTTTCAAGTAAAGAAATAATGCAGCAATAAAAAATTCGAACTAGTAAATTTTTTTTTTCATGAAATCTTCCACGTACCGTACGTTTAGACATCATCATTGACTGCAGCGGTTACATAAACGTGATCGTCGTCGTCCGCGATCACGGCAAAATCATGAACATTTCCCGCGGCCTTGTAGACATCAATGACATCATCGTCGTCTCCCGCTGTCTCAGAAACGTCATCGTCCGCAATCGCGGCAAAATCATGAACATTTCCCGCGGCCGTGTAACATCATCGTCGTCTCCCGCGGTCACGGAAACGTCATCGTCATCTCCCGCGGTCACGGAAACGTCATCGTCATCTCCCGCGGTCACGGAAACGTCATCGTCATCTCCCGCGGTCACGGAAACGTCATCGTCATCTCCTGCGGTCACGGAAACGTCATCGTCGTCGTCCGCGATCGCGACAAACTCATGAACATTTCCCGTGGTCACGGAATCGTCATCGTCGTCTCCCGCGGTCACGGAATCGTCATCGTCGTCTCCCGCGGTCACGGAAACGTCATCCTTATCTCCCGCGGTCACGGAAACGTCATCGTCATCTCCCGCGATCGCGATAAAATCATGAACATTTCCCGCGGCTGTCCAGACATCACCGTCATCTCCCGCGGTCACGGAAATGTTATCGTCATCGTCCGCGATCACGGCAAAATCATGAACATTTCCCGCGGCCGTGTAAACATCATCGCCATCTCCCGCGGTCACGGAAACGTCATCGTCATCTCCCGAAAGGAAGCAGCTGAAGCTCAACAAGCCAGGTTCAGCAGAAGTTAACCTTTGGATATTCAGATAAGGAAGCAGCTGAAGCTCAACAAGCCAGGTTCTTTAAATCTACATATCACCACCTATATTCTGAACTAAGACTGATAAGAAGATCCCTGCTTCCAACTAAACATTATCATCATTAAAATCAAACCTTTATTATTTTTTTCCTCAATTAATAATATACCTGGAAAAAAATGTAATAATAATTTAAAGGAATTATCCTTTTTTTGTCCAGTTAAGATTTTTCCATCACTTTGAATATATATTACTTAGTTAAATAAAGACACATTTTGTGTATATATGTATCTTCTATTGCCATTGTTAAATAAATAAAGTTTTTTTTTTTTTTTTTGCTGCATTTAGTGCTGTAAACATTGAGTACTGCAATGAGCTTTCATCTTCAGTGTTAGTGATACAGCGCTGGGAGTAACAAACAGAAACAGTTTTTAATATGGATACAAACTTACTTGATGGATGGGTAAGGAAACAGACAGTTAGGAAGAAAGGATTAACTAAGGGAAAAGTTGACATATACTATTACTCACCAAAAGGAAAAATGTTCAGATCCAAATCTCAACTTGAAAAGTACATTGATCAAAATAAACTCAGTTTAAATATTGATGACTTTGATTTTAAATCTATATTAAAATCTCCAACTAGATATAATATTTTAGAAAGTAAGGAAAGCAATTGTTTAAATGAAAGTGCAATGACAGAGGGCCAACCAAACTTAAACACCAGTACACCAGAAACCAGTGTGTATCGCAATAAAACCAACGAATCAACATTGTCAATCTCTAGCTTAGAGCTTGGAGAAGTTCTCACTGATGAGGCTGAGGATGGATTATTGAAATTAAGGAACTGTTTGGCTGAAGCAAATGATAACGTGATTCAGTTAAAATTTCAAAAAGAAAAAGCTGAGTCTTCATTACAGGTATTGGAGTTAGAGGCAGAAGAAACTGTAATGAACCTACAACAAGATATTAAAATATTAACAGAAGACAATAAGAAACTTAAACGTGATTTAGAAGGAAAAATCAATGAAATTCAGTATTTGAAGGATCAAATATCAGTTAGCTCTGTTAATGTGCTACTATGTAAAGACTCATCAGATGAACTGAGAAAAGGACTAGCTGAAAATAAAGAAATTCAATTGCTTAACGACCAAATAAATGTGTTGCAAGCTCAAGTAAATAACTTTAAAAGAAGAAATCTACAGCTTATGGAAACTATTCAACCGTACCCACTACCTGATCCGGAGCTCATCTCAGAAATAAAATCCTTAAAAAATAAAATTTCATACATGGAAACTAAGTTCACCGAAGAATCTAATACATACAGGGAAATAATCAAGCTACTTGAAAGTGATATAAACAATCTGAAACTACAAAATGAAAAACTAAGTACTGAAACAAAACTTCTGAGAGACGACAAATTACTAACTATTACTGAGGACAGCTTTGTAATCCCTAAACATTTTGCAAAGTTAATGGATAAAGCACAGTTTGTTACCGACCCAGCAAATCTATCCAACAGATTTGAACTACTTACACCAGCTGAAGAAACCATTCAAAAAGAATTGTTGAAATCACCAGCAAAAACTCAAAAGGGACCTGTGTGTTTGAAAGATGAATTGAAAAGTAACCATCAAATAAAATGTACAGCACATAAAGAAACAGCAAGAGACTACAATACTGTTATACCTAGTTCAGATAAACCTAATATATTGTTGGTTGCTGACAGTCACGGTAGAAATCTGTACAGAAATCTTGTTGAAATATGGCCAACTAAAGAAGTAAACATTTCTGTTGTATATAAACCCAATGCACAGCTAAATGGAGTAATAAATAACTTAGGTGAACTGATAAAAAATTTCACAAAATCTGACACTGTCATTGTCATTGGGGGTTGTAATGACATTGGAAATGGTGATGAAATACTAATTAGTAAATATCAAGATATCATTGACAAGACAACCCACACGAATGTTATGATTTCAGGATTACCTTACAGACACGATGTGCCTGGTCTCAACAACCGTATCGCATTTTTAAATATAGAACTTGAAAAAAAAGTTAACCAAAATGAGCATACCAAATTTCTACCTCTCAACCTTTTACCAAGGCAAATGTATACTAAGCATGGTTTGCATTTTAACCGATCAGGAAAAAAAGAAGTTTCTAAATTGATCAAACATTGCATCTACGGAACTAATTCAAACCAGCAGAAGAGTAACTTAAAAACGGCTACTGAGGAGATCAATGATGAGTTTGTATTAGATATCTCTAACGTTGAAGGAATTAAAGTGGTGGTGGCAGACATGTACAAGGTGATCAAAGCTCTAAAAAATGACAGCTCAGTAGCTTTTGCCCACACAATCTCTGGTGATTTTCAACACCCTAGAAGGATGACTGCCGGTGTAGCAGTTTCTTTTGCTAGGCATTTTGGGAAACCCCAATTAAAGGATTGCTTGTCTAAATCTTTGGCCTACCAGAGAAGCAACCCTAAGGAGGCAGCAGTCTACAGCCTTATAACAAAGGACAACTTTAATGGCAAGCCTACTCTGGATGGTTATGACTCAGCAATTGGAGCTCTGACTGATGAACTCAAGACTAAGAAATTCAGTGTGCTGATATGCTCCCCCATGGGTTGTGTGCGAGATTTTGTTCGAATTGAACATTTTTCAAGGAAAATAGTGGAGTTTCACAGGACCACTGGCATTCCAATCATAGTGGTAACAAAAGAACAACCTGGTGCTCAGAGAATACTTCACCATGGACTTTCCCATTCAGAATTTGTCCTTAAGCTGAGACAGAACATCCAGACATTATGCCCGGCAAGCAAACCAACAACTGTACCACTGACACTCTGCTCATCTCAACCGTCTTCGCAGCAACTACAACCACTATCTAGTTCTCCACAGCATCACTCACAACCAACTTCAACACAACTTCCTGCTGTTGGTCTTATCAGCCCCCGGTTGGTTCCAGGCGGTCTCAGCTATAACGAAGTTGTTAAGTCAAAACCATCGAGTGTTGTGAAAAAGCAGAGCAAATGTGTGGTGTCAAGTGTTGAGGGTGATCCATCAGTGTTAGAGTTAGATTCCTTTTTAGATGATAGTTCTCCTTTAATTTTAAACTGATTCATTCTGACAATGACCTTGTACCTGCTAAATTAAGTAACTTAGATAATTCTTTGCACAAAACAAATTCACTGGCTCAAAATAACGAACTAAAAGGTTTATGTAATCAATCTTTTTATTCAACTAACTGTGATTTAATAATGCATTACAATTGTCAAGGTTTAAATTTAACAAAAATTTCAGCTCTCAATTTATTTTTATCTGAGGCCAATTTGAATATTAAAGCTATATCTTTTAATGAACATTGGTTAGATCATAATTCAGCCTCTCTGTTAAATACAATCAATAATTTTAAATTGGCTAGTTCTTATATAAGAGAAAGTGGCTGTAGGGGCGGATCTTGCATATTAGTGGATAAGAACTGTAAATATGTAACAATAACACAGTTTTCCAATTTAAATGAAGACTTTATTTTTGAATGTTCTGCTATTGAACTTGTGGATTTTAATTCAGTTTTAATTTCTATTTATACAGTACCAAATTTCAACATAAGTAAACAGTTTTTAGATAGACTTGAAATTCTATTTTTGATAATACAGAAAAAATTCAAAAAAAATACTGTTTTTGTAACTGGAGATTTTAACATAGACATTTTAACGAATGACACATTCACAAGTAGATTTAAAGAAATTGTCGAATGTAATGGTTTTTGTTTTCAATTTGAGGAGCCAACTAGAATAACAAATACTTCATTTACTTGTTTGGATAATTTTATCACACCCAAAACGTTTAGTTGCCATTACAGGTTAAACACTGAGTTAGGTCTTTCTGATCACAATGCT